GGCATTCTCCTCGTTTATGGCCTTGGAGAATTTCAAGGAGAGCTCGTTGATCTCATTCTTGAGGTCCTTCACCTGCTTCTGTACCTCGGGGCTCAGGTGCAGTCCTGCGGCGGTATTGCTAGACATTAAACTTTCGTTTGTTGCTTGTCACAAGACGAGCCGAAGATTTCCTTCGCTACGCCAAACTGCGAGGGCAGCGATGTAGCAACACACAGATAATGAGGCGATAGTGCTCGTGTTTTTATGCCACCCGCCGGAGACTGGCAGCACAAAGTACAAGTTGGACACAAGTGCTGCATCAGCAATTCAGCACTGCTGCCATGTTACCTATAGTTTCTTCCACATTAAGTGTGGGAGAAGCCGAAGTTACAAGGACATGCACTACAGTGGCTTAAAAGGGGTAGTGTACTGAACGAAACCGGAGAAGCGGCACAGTGTTGGAAGACGGCCGTGGGTGGCACTGGTGGTTGCAGCACCGTTGTTCCGGCTATGGCTCCGGCTTGGCCCGATTGGCTCCGGCCGATTCACAGATGTTGACTACACCGTCGTCTGCTAGTTTCATATTTTTATTCACCTACGAACACAAAGCATGTCGTTGGAAGTTCACTGGAAACAAATAATTGTTTTTGAGGTATTTATATTAGTTTTGAAGCGTGTTAGGGTGCCTCTATCTACTGGCTGATGGAGGCACCCTAACGAAGCTGCGGATCGAAGCACCCCCTACACCGTCGTCCAAGGAGCGGCCGTTCACGATGCATGGTGGAGGATATGCGGTAACTACACTGCCCCCTTTAAGCCACTGTAATGCACCTTGCCCTGAACAATGCTTGCGCCGCAACAGCGCACGTGCTCGGTAAAGGGGCCAAAAGCCTGGAGCCCATTCTAGTAGTTTAGTTTCTGTGTGAAACTGAGCATTGTTGGACGAAGGAAAAGAAGGGAGGTGGGGTGAAGGGTGGAGACAATATGAACGAGGAGGAGGCCAGTTGAAAATGATAAAGCCTAAACTCTATGCTGTCCCTTTTGAGTGCAAATCTGCACCTCCATCAAAGGCTTACAAAACTCTGCGAGAACAGAACTTTGCCAGCTGCTCTCCGGATGCGTCCACGGTGCACTCTCAGTTTTAAGCACAAACTAGGAATTGATTTCCGTGCACCTTTATCGGGGAATTCTCTCAGAACCTTACCGTCCCGTTTACGAAGCCTGATCAATTTCTCAAGGAAGCGCTTCATCTCGGCCGAGAGAGAGCTGGTGTCCATTTTCTCCAGGGCTTGCAGCTTTTCAAAGATGTCGGGCCGCATCCTACAAAGTCAGACGGCACGTGTAAACAGACCTTCGAATTCTGCTCACAGGGGTGCAGAATTTCCAGTAGCTACCGTAATCATGATTGTCCACGGGCAATGTGTTTGGATTCTGCTAAGGGGTGTGGAATCTCTGGTAGCTACCACAATCAGCACTATCCTCCGACAGGCACGAAAGCGAAAAGGTCGGAGAGTAAGGAAGAACATTTCCTCACCCGCATTCGACTTCAAACTCGTCCAGCATACGGGAGGCTTCCGAGCTAGCATCCCGCAGTTCCTTGTTTGTTGAAACGTACATCGCAAGCTCCAAGTAGAGCTTCTCATTCGTGGAAAGTCGCTCGACCTCTGCAAGCTCCTGAAACAGAGATTGTAAGCTAGGTCAACAAACAAAATTGATTAAGTCACACCCTAGATAATATAGTCAACCAAGCGCACTTGTTTTTGCTCTATGACTTGAAACTGTTCCTTGAAACTGATCATGCAGCTGTTGTCATAGTTTGTGTGTATTGTACATGCCATTTCTTGTAAAAATTATATTCTTTCTTTGGTGCACTGATTTTGCCACCGCAGCTAACTTTGTTGGGGGCGGGAACTCAGTGAAGTCGCACTGGTGTGGCTTTTTTTCTGTCTGCATCAAGGCGATAAGCAAATTGTTAAACTTGGCTTCTTTTGCTGAACTTGCCTTAGCCCACCTTGTGCAGATGAATGGAGTGGGACTAAAATCTAATCCAAAACTGTCAATCAGCTTCCGCTGAACAATGGCGGGCAATATGAAGTGTTGCATTTGATACAAATGCCAACTCAGTAAAGTGATTCAACAAAACCCAAGTTCCAAAACCAACGGCATTCTCCTGTGAACACGGGCTTATCCAAAGATCCTGGCGTAAAGATTTTAAATTATTCTACTTCCTTGTCTAAGCCAAGCAGATGGTGCGACTGTGCGCCCTGGAAATAAAAAGGAAAAAGAAAAAAAAAAGAGCACGGGGGATCATGCGAGAGATTTGTGCCCAGAGATAGTCATGTGGTTCGTGTCCGATTCTCTCGTCTGGGACGGATTCGGTGAACTCGACTGGCTACCGCTGACAGAGCTTCCAATGAGGCGAGCTGGCTTGGAGCAAGCTGCCCTAGGCTGCGTTAAGAAGAATGCTCAACCCAGCGACGTATGCCCCATAGAAGATGCACCTCGGAAATACAAAATGGCGACGAGGATGGGATTTCAAAAGGGCAACGACAGCTTCAAGGCAAGCTCTGCGTCCCGGTCGCATAATTGACACGAACCGGCGCATTTTCGACGTTTTTTTGTTTTGTTTTTTTTTCGCGGCCCTGTGGCGTTTCGTTATGACTATTTAGGGCCAGTCGAGCTAGCGTTTGGTTTTAGAGCGCAGCTCTTAGGCACCCGTTCCCGGCTTGAGTGGCGTCGCCGCCGGCGTAACTGCGCGGTGCATTATGGGAAACGTCCCATAATGCAATGCGCAATTACGCCGAAACGTCCCATAATGCACCGTGCGGTTACGCCGAAACGTCCCATAATGCAATGCGCAGGTCTCACTCATGACCCTTGCGTTGCATTATGGGTTGTTTCGAAGTAACTGCGCGGTGCATCATGGGACGTTTCGGTGTAACCTCGCATTGCATTATGGGAAACGTCCCATCATGCAATGCACAAGTCTCACTCGTGACCCGTGCATTGCATTATGGGACATTTCCCGTAATGACGTCACACGCGACGTCACGAGGGTCCGGTGCGTTGCATTATGGGAAAAGTCCCATTATGCAATGCGCGGGTCTTAGTCGTGACCTGCGCATTCCTTTCGTATCCTCCCCTCCTCCCCATCAAGAGCTGCGCTCTAATTCGGCATTACAGGGAGTTGTAAATGTCTTTCATTTTTTCTCCTTTTGTCCTTTTCTTTTTGTGCGACCTACTTCGAGCCAGGTAGTACTCGTTTCTCTCCGAACCAGAGCGTCTCGGAACTCCTGTATGCCCAACGTTTCAAATGCCGAGTTCATTTCTTTTGGTAGCTTTACTCGTTTTTTTCGGATGCATCTCGGTCTAAATCAATTGTCCCAGGCAATTAATACGCACTGAGAGAGTTACCTGGTCTTGCGAGACAGCATTTTTTTTTTTGTTCCGTCCGCCCTACGACGCGAACATTGTTCCAGGCGAGAAATAGGCCCTGGCCTAAGTAGATGGTCTTAGACAGCGATATTTTTTCATCCCATCCTCGTCGCCATTTTAGTATTTTTGGAGGTGGCCGGTGTTGGTAGTGAGGTGGTAGTCCGACAGGTGCCGTCGGGTGTCGGCGCAGGGTTGCGTGGATAGCCTTGAGTGCCGTGGTGGCGATGTCTTGCCTTGTCAATGTCAGAAAAGGAACAACAGCTGCGGCTGCAGGCGTCGTCGTGGCCGGAAAGTAGACGTCGGGTTCATCCGCGAAGGCGGGGGCCCACGTCCTCGCGGGCCCCGCCGACGGCGAAGAAGGACGGCGGTGACTGTCGAGTTGTTTAACACAAATCCCAGGGTCAACTGTTCCAAAGGGATACTAGCATGCACAAGCTGAGCACGCGCCACTGCGGGTGGGTCATGCACTTCTCTCGTTCAGAATTCGAGCCCATACGACCGCTAAACTCAATTCTACACCAGGAGACCTATGTTGCACTTTTTGGACTCTCACGGCGACAATGGAGAAGGAAGTGACGTCAACAACGCAGCAGACGCAGATCGGATGTTGATTAATGAGAGTCGCTGATGACGAATTTCCGCAGAAGAAACATCCAATCTGCGTTTTTTTTGCGTTGTTGAGGTCACTTCTCTCTCCCTAGTTGCCGTGGGAGTCCAAAAAGCGCAACACAGGGCACCTGGCTTACAGCTGCCAACTCAGCAACGTGACTCAACAAAAATGAAGAGTAACTGTTTCAACACCGATCGCATTCTTTAATGGCCCTACCGCAAACACCCATATCATCCGGCATGGCTGCGAAATCAGCAACGTGACTCAGCAACATACAATCGTTTCAAAATAACAAAAAAAAAAAAAAAAAATTACTTACACCAAGCACGTTGTCAAAAGTGATTTGGTCACCCTCGAGAGCGCCGATCTTATCGCACAAGGCTCTGCAGTCTTCGATTAGACGTGTCGCCCGGGCCAGCAGCTCTTTAGGCTCGAGGTCGTAGTCCCAAGCCCTCAGGATGCCCGGTGCTGTGGTCTTGTTGGGCTCCATGGTCGCCGTTCGCTTCGCCGAAGGTAATGTCACCGAGATTGCTGAACAGAAAGATCGCCTCACGTAACTGGATACCGAGAGCGACGGCGCCGGCAGTATTTGGGTGCACAAACGGGCCTTGAGGACAACTGTCGAGTGCTGGCGGAGTCGGATCAGAGTTGTCGGAATCCGAACTGTTTTGAACATCAAACACAAGCCAGTTATCGGCACGACGTCTTTCCGCCGCTGGCTAGACGCAAGGCGCAACAAAAGATGAAATGTTCAGTCGTTCAGTTGGTTCAGTCATATGGTTCGGTGCTTACGTGTATCTGGGTTGCACACGGCACCACGAGCTGAAGCGGCTGAAGCAGGCGACAGCTACATAAACGACACAAGTGATAAAGTTCCAGATGAAGTTCCAAGGTTCATTGTGTCAAAGGCAAAAAATGCATGTGCGATAGGTATACGCAACTACTGAACATGGGGCTGGGGCGCTGAATGGCTGAATCAGCTGAATCTCCCTGAACGCCGGTCTGTATGAAAAGTAGCCAAGCCGTACGGCCGTACGCGCGTTCTGGCTCGGTTCATTCGGGCAACGTTGGGTTCGGAGTTTCGGCAGTTTCGGTTTGAATTGTGGGTTCACAAGTTTTGCGTGTTTTGTATGTGCGTGGTGCCGCGTGCAGCAAGCACACACGTAAACACTGAACCATATGACTGAACGACTGAACATTTGAATCTTTTGTTTCGCCTTGCGTCTAGCCAGCGGCGGAAGCACGTCGTGCCGAAAACTGGCTCGTGTTTGATGTGTTCGATGTTCAGAACAGTTCGGATTCCGACAAATCTGCTCCCACTCCGCCGCCGCTCGACAGTTGTCCTCGAGGCTGTTTGTGCACCCAAATACCAACTGCCGGCGCCGTCGTTCTCGGTATTCAGTTACGTGAGGCGGTCTTTTTGTTCAGCAATCTCGGTGAATTACCTTCGGCAAAGCGAACGGCGACCATGGAGCCCAACAAGACCACAGCACCGGGCATCCTGAGGGCTTGGGACTACGACCTCGAGCCTAAAGAGCTGCTGGCCCGGGCGACACGTCTAATCGAAGACTGTAGAGCCTTGTTGTAAGATATGCGCCTGCTAGGCGCGAATGCGAGCGTACCTTCGCGTCAATGGAAGAAGACGACGAGGTTTGTGAGTGCTCGTGCTCGTGCAGTTCGGACCGCTGATCGAACCGCCAGTCCATCATGTACTGTCCCGAACCTGACCTGTATATATGTACATAGCTTCAGTGTAATTAAATGTACATAACAAATTTGGCGACGAGGAAATCGGAAAAAGCGGGCGAGACTCCGGCAACCCATCATGGTTGAAAGGACATCGCTGACATTTGAAGCTTTCCAGGCAGGTAAGCCGGAGACATGGCCATTATACCTTCAACGGCTGGAATTCCACTTTGAAGCCCATGGGATCGCTACACCCAAGATGAAGCGAGCCGTGTTCTACAGCGTTTGCGGAGCCGAGACCTATGCAATACTGCATTCCCTCTGCGCGCCAACGACACCTTCAGAGACGGACTACGCTGACATCATTAAGAAGTTGGGAAATCACTTTGCACCAAAGCCCTCGGAGATCGTGGAACGCTTTAAGTTTCATAAGCGGGCACAGCACAGCGACGAACCCATGGCTGCGTTCATCGCGGACTTACGCCGTATTGCAGTTACCTGCAACTTCGGAGACGCCCTCGACAGCAGTTTGCGCGACCAGATTGTCTGTGGAGTTAAAGATGAGGCCTTGCAACGACGTCTGCTGAGCGAAGCCGAGCTTACGTTGGCTCAAGCGGAGAAGTTGGCAATAGCAGCGGAATGTGCGAAGAACAATGCCATGGAGATCAGGACTACGCCTAAGGACGTCAGCCAAATCCACAGCGTGGCTAAAGATGGACCTGGACCGTCACCGCCTGCACAACATCATGCGAAGCCTGAAACCAAGCAAGCGACTTCCGTGTGCTATCGATGCAACGGGGCACACTCTCCTCAGGATTGCCACTTCAAGAACGCCACATGCCTGTTCTGTGACCGCAAAGGGCATATTGTCAAAGCCTGTCTTCAAAAGAAGGCTAAGAAAAGTCCTCCAAGAGCAAGACGGGGGACGGCGCAAGCTGATCTTTTAGACGGCGATACCACCAAGATGTACGAGCTGTACAACCTCTCGTCCAACGAACCTGCTATCCTCGTAGACGTCGACATCGACGGACAGCCAACAGCGATGGAGGTTGACTCAGGATGCATGTTCTCTGTCATAAGCAGGAGAACAATGGCACGACTTCATATTCCAAATCAGAGGCTGAAACCATCTACGGTTGCGCTACGCACATATACGAAGGAGCCTGTTATCGTCCTAGGAAGAGTACTCGTGGAGGTTAAACACAAAGAAAGGTCGGCAACTCTGCCACTTCTGGTGGTCAAGGGAGAGTACGCAAGCCTTCTTGGACGAAACTGGTTCAAGCATCTAGGAATCGGCCTCACAGGTGTCCATCAACTCAGGAACACCCAGGAGGGTAGCGGATTCCTGGAGGAGTTCAAGGAAATCTTCGACGCTGGCCTGGGAAAGAGTCGGGGACCACCCATCCGTGTGGAGGTCGACAGATCTGCTGCACCTAAGTTCTGCAAGTCAAGGCAAGTTCCCTATGCGATGCGTCCGAAAGTGGAGCAAGAACTAGAAAAGTTGGTCCAGCAGGGAATCCTTGAACCTGTAAAACACTCAAATTGGGCTACACCGATAGTTCCAATCCTGAAAAAGAGTGGTGAATTGCGGATTTGCGGTGACTATAAAAGTACCGTAAACAAGGCAGTGAAGTGGGAATCTTACCCATTGCCCACGCCAGAGCAACTCCTGAGCAACTTAGCGGGTTGCCGTCGCTTTACACAGCTTGACCTTGCACAGGCCTACCAGCAGTTGACCGTCGATGATGAGTCGGCAAAGCTTTTCACCATCACGACGCACAAGGGACTTTTCAAGGTTAACCGTCTTCCATTTGGAGTATCCGTCGCCGTAGTGATCTTCCAGCGTTATATGGAGGAGTTACTTGCCGGAATTGAAGGAGTACTAATTTTTTTAGATGACATACTTATCGGCGGAGAATCCAAAGAACAGCACGATAGACGCCTGCGAGCTGTGCTGCAGCGATTCAAGGAAGACGGTTTACGCCTTAACAAGGCAAAATGTACGTTCAACACCATGCAAGTCGTGTTTTTGGGATTCAGGATTGACAAGGACGGGGTGCGACCAACTGAAGACAAGGTCAAGGCCATTCATGAAGCTCCAGAGCCCAAGAACAAACAGGAACTACAGTCATTCCTGGGCTTGCTTAATTTCTACCATCGTTTCCTCAAGGGAGCTGCTCACACCTTGGAGCCGTTGTACAGACTGCTGGATAAGGGGGCGAGCTGGACATGGACCGTTCTCGAAGCTGAGGCTTATCGCAAGGCGAAAGAACTGCTCACTTGTGCGACAAGATCGGCGCTCTCGAGGGTGACCAAATCGCTTTTGACGACGTGCTGGGTGTAAGTAATTTTTTTTTTTTTTTTTTTTTGAGCCCTTTTGAAACGATTGTATGTTGCCGAGTCACGTTACTGATTTCGCACCCATGCCGGATGATATGGGTGTTTGCGGTACGGCCACTGAAAAATGCGATCGGTGTTGATTGCACTCCATTTTTGTTGAGTCACGCTGCTGAGTTGGCTGCAGTAAGCCAGGCGGGCTATGTTGCACGTTTTGGACTGCCAGGCGACTAGGTAGAAGGAAGTGACATAGGTGTGAATGAACATATCTTAGCAGCACCACGCAACGCGTCATCAGCGACTCCACCAATCAACATCCAAAGAGCGTTGTTGGCGGCACTTCCTTCTCCTAGTCTTCTGGGAGTCCAAAACCCCAAGCCCAACATAGCCCCCCAGGTGTAGTATTCTGAGCTTTGCGTTCGTACGGGCAGGCACGAATTCTGAACAAGAGAAGCGCGTGCTCAGCTCTTGTAGTATCGCTGTGGAACAGTTTGTAGTGTACACGCCGCGTGCTCTACGCTGCGTGCTGATTGGCTCATTTGGGAGGAGAGCGTTACGGCGGCAAGATCATAGACTAACCAAACTCTCCCCACATACGGCTCTGGCACGAACAGTCGCACCTCAGCACCTGTGCCATCAGTGCCTGCAAGACGACAGAGCCCCCTTCGTCGACGCTACCCCCGTCAGAAACCGCAAGCCGCCACGGCATCTTGCCGACTTTGCAACATAATCCCTTTTAAATTCTTTGTGAAGAAGAGTGAACTATTGCAAAATGAAAGAACTCATCTCAGCAAGTGTTCAGCTGAATATCGACAGCACATCATTTAGTTAATTTTGTTTTGTTATATACTTTGCAACATTTTATTTGATGTATTAGATTCTCAATTTTATCTTCCCACAAGGAGGGTAGCTGTAGTGCCTTTGATTTAGCGAAACCGACTATACGGGTTGGCAACGTTGGTGTATCAGAATATGGCGGGTTAAACGAACGTTGATTTACCACGCTGCAGTCCTCAATCCAAGCAATCCCTAAATACTCCAACACCACACAGTTGACCCTGGGATTTGGATTAAACAAGTAAACAGTCACAGGTGTCCTTCCTCGCCTTTGGCGGGGTCCGCAAGGACGTGGGCCCCCGCCGTTATTGGGTCGCCTTCGCAGATGAACCCTACGTCTACTTTCCGGTCACGACAACGCCTGCAGCAGCGGCTGCCGTTCCTTTCCTGACATTGACAAGGCAAGACATTGCCACCACTGCATTCAAGGCCATCCACGCAGCCCTGCGCCGGTACCCGACAGCACCTGTCGGACCACCACCTCCAAAAATACTAAAATGGCGACGAGGATGGGATGAAAAAGAATTGCTGTCTCTGAAGAGACAGCGACCTTGGTCAGGGCTTCTTTCTGGCCTAGAACAATGTTTGCGTCATCGCCGGACAGAACAAAAAACAAAAAAAAAAATATGCTGTCTCGCAAGTTTGGGTAACTCTCTTAGTGCTTATTTGTTGCCTGGAACAATTGATTCTGGACCGAGCTGTGTCCAAAAAAAAAAAGCGTAAAGCTACAAAAAAAATTAACTCGGCGTTTGAACGTTAGGCGTGCAGGAGTTCCGAGACGCTCTGGTTCGGAGAAAGGAGTACTACCTGGCTCGAAGTAGGCCACATGAAAAGAAACGCAAAAAGAGAAAAATCAAACGCTAGCTCGACTAATTAACCCTAAATAGTGGTAACGAAATGCCGCAAGGCTGCGAAGAAAAAAACAAAACTAAAAAATGTCCAAGATGTGCCGGTTCTTGTCAACTATGCGACCGGGACGCACAGCTTGCCTTGAAACTGTCGTTGCCCTTTTAAAATCTCATCCTCGTTGCCATTTTGTATTTTCCGCGGTGCATCTTCACCCTACCTATGTTGCTGGGCCGAGTGTTCATCTTAATGCAGCCTAGGGCAGCTTGCTCCAAGCCAGCTCACCTCATTGGAAGCTCTGTCAGCGTTAGCCGGTCGAGTCCAGCGAACCCATCCCGGATGAGAGAATCGGACACGAACCACACAACGATCTCCTAGGAAGAAATCTCTTGCACCATCCCCCGTGCTCTTTTTTTTTTTCTTTTTTCCTTTTTAGGGCGCATAATCGTGCCATCTGCTTGGCTTTGACGAGGAAGTAGAAGAATTTAAAATCTTTACCCCAGGATCTTTGGATAAGCCCGTGTTCACAGAAGAATGCCATTGGTTTTGGAACTTGGGTTTTGTTGAATCACATTACTGAGTTGGCATTGGTATCAAATACAACACTTCATATTGCCCGCCGCTGTTCAGTGGAAGCTGATTGACAGTCTTGGATTAGATTTTAATCCCACTCCATTCATCTGCACAAGGTGGGCTAACCAAGGCAAGTTCACCAAAGGAAGCCAAGTTTAACAATTTGCTTATCGCCTTGATGGAGACAGAAAAAAAGCCACACCAGTGCAACATCACCGAGTTCCTGCCCCCAACAAAGGTAGCTGTGGTGGCAAAATTGATACACCATAGATAGAATATGATTTTTACTAGAAACAGCATGTACAATAAAAACAAAAACAATAACAACAGCTGCATGATCAGTTTCGAGGAACAGTTTCAAGTCCTAGAGCAAAAACAAGCACACTTGGTTGACTTTGTTCTCTAGGTTGTGACTTCAATTGATTATGTTTGTGAACCTAGCTCTAATCTTTGTTTCAGGAGCTTGCAGAGGTTCAGCGACTTCCCACGAATGAGAAGCTCTACTTGGAGCTTGCGATGTACGTTTCAACAAACAAGGAACTGCGCGACGCTAGCTCGGAAGCCTCCCGTATGCTGGACGAGTTTGAAGTCGAATGCGGGTGAGGAAATGTTCTTCCTTACTCTCCGACCTTTTCGCTTTCGTGTCTGTCGGAGTATAGTGCTGATTGTGGTAAGCTACCAGAGATTCCACACCCTTGAGCAGAATCCAAACACATTGCCCGTGGACAATCATGATTACGGTAGCTACCGGAAATTCTGCGCCTCAGTGAGCAGAATCCAAAGCTCTGATTACACGTGCCGTCTGACTTCGTAGGATGCGGCTCGACATCTTTGAAAAGCTGCAAGCCCTGGAGAAAATGGACACCAGCTCTCTCTCGGCCGAGATGAAGCGCTTCCTTGAGAAATTGATCAAGCTTCGTAAACGAGACGGTAAGGTTCTGAGAGAATTCCCCGATAAAGGTGCACGGAAATCAATTCCTAGTTTGTGCTTAAAACTGAGAGTGCACCGTGGACACATCCGGAGAGCAGCTGGCAAAGTTCTGTTCTCGCAGAGTTTTGTAAGCCTTTGATGGAGGCGCAGATTTGTGCTCAAAAGGGACAGCATACATTTTAGGCTTTATCACTTTCAACTGAACTCCTCCTCACTCATATCGGCTTCTCCCTCAGTTAATGTGGAAGAAACAATACGTGACATGGCGGCAGCGCTGAATTGCTGATGCAGCACTTGTGTCCATTGCGCTCCGTGCTGCCAGTCTCCGGCGAGAGGCATAAAAACGCCAGCACTACCACCTCATTATCTGGGTGTTGCTACATCGTTGCCCTCGTAGTTTGGCGTAGCGAAGGAAATCGTCGGCTTGTTTTGTGGCAATCAACAAACGAAAGGCTAATTTTTAGCAATACTGCCGCAGGACTGCACCTGAGCCCCGAGGTACAGAAGCAGGTGAAGGACCTCAAGAACGAGATCAACGAGGTCTCCTTGAAATTCTCCAAGGCCATAAATGAGGAGAACGCTGTCCTGGAGTTCACGGAAGAGGAGCTGAGGGGCCTGCCCGAGGAGTTTGTCAAGAATCTAGACATGGTACGCTCGTAACGAACGACTACGCTCTAGCTCGAGACAACGGCACGAAAAAAAAACCAATGTAAAACAAAGTTTGCCTTATTTTCGTGCCAGGGTGCTGCGTTCGCTGCCGCCAACTCGCCCGCATTTTAAGAATGCTATTTGTTATTGGGGTGTTAGTTAGTTAAAACACGGTATAGACGGACGCGAAAAAAGCAACATGGAAAGGACATTGTCAACATCACTGACCACTGTCTGCTAGATTTGGCGGATTTGGTTGACTTGGAACGTCTTAAACTTTGGTGACCTTGTAAATAGCGCATCATCTGCAGCGGGACTGATGGTGGCCCACCCCCATTGGACGGCGTAAGTAGTCACGTGACCGTAGCGACAGCCATTGGCGTTTTAGTCCGAACTCACGTCACGAGTCTCGGTCTAAACGGTTCCACCGAGATTTACCTCCCAAAAGTATTTGCGTAATGGGGAGTTTGTCGGGTACGGCCAAGGTACTGCCACAGGTCTTTAAAACCTTTATTTGTGTTTTCTACTAGTCGCAGGCAGTGCTTGCAAGGACGAGATTTGTGATCTCGTTTCTGCGGCTTCTCTCTTCGCCCAGGCCGATTCCGGAAAGCGGCGGGTTACGCTGAAATACCCGCACGCCATACCGATCATGAAGTTTGCCATCAGTGCCGAAACGCGCGGGAGAGTCAACTTCGCTTTTGACAACAGGTACGAGATACGGAACACCTTTTGGGGTGTTGCTTCGGGGAAATTTGACGACTTGAAACACATTTTTACTTTTCCAAGAAGCAAATGGGATCTGTCGTCCTTGTGCTTGCGTGGGCAATAATGAAGACTGGTTTACGCATTTGCGTTTGAATGTAATCAACGCTTTGCAACCGCCAGCAACTGCTATCTGCTGGGTAGTCCTGAAACGTTTCTGATCTGTATATATTTTATGCATCATTTTTTTCATTAAAAAGACACTGAAACCCCCCCCCCCCCCCCCCCCCCCCAAAAAAAAAATTTTATTTTTTGCCAGGCGCTTCAATATGGTGTCGGAGGACTACCCAATTAATATTTTGCAACAGAGTAGCGTATTTTTTTAATAAAGCCAAAAGACGCAACTGCTCGAAACCGAACCGAAACCCGACAGAGGTCGGAGAAGTGGAGAGAAGAGAGTGAGTGGCGGAAGTCACGTAACTACACCCGACCGTGCGTTTTTTTTTTTTCTCCTCTCCGTAGCAGACGACACGACATGCGGCGTGCGATGCGGCGTGCGGGAACTGCTCGCCGTGCGATTCTTTTGCAGTTATGTTTGTTCCGCTCGTTGTTCTGTGCTCCAAGATGAGTTGTTCTGTACTCCAAGATGAGTTGTTTTGTAGATTGAGGAGTTGGAGATGAGTAGCGAGTGCCCGTGGTGAATTTCCATGAGCGGCTCCGAAAAGAACACACCGAAGATGTTGCGTGAAGAGCTGGCTCACATGTCCTTCATCCGAAAAAAGTGGCATTGTGCGACAGAGTTTCCGAAAGATCAACGGGATCGGGACCAATGGCTGGCTGCAATTCCTGTAGAACATGTACGGGCATTTCGGAAAGCGGACGCTACCTGATTTACATGCTCCTTGCATTTTGTGGAAAGTGATTACATTGAGTTCGCAGGTGTCAAAACGGAAATCCCATACCATTTAATTCAGCGAAGTATCGTCCACAACATTTGTTTGTTATTTTTTTTTTGTTTGTTTCTTCAGTGATGATTGTAAAAAAAAAAAAAAAAAGAAGATATGTAAACATCAAAAAATGTTTGAAAAAAAAAAAAAAAAGTTTCACAGGAGATTGAACCCGGTCCTACCGCGTGTGAACCGGACGTCTTTCCCACTGAGCTACTGGGGCATCTCTTTTCTGGTGGATCTCTTTCCTTAGTGATAATTCAGCCGGTAAACTGTAAGTTGGAAAGTTTGCTGTCGATTTTTCTCTAGCAAAAGCACTCCCGGGTCGAAGTCGGGAAACACCACGCTTTGGGGACATTCGCACCTAGTAAAGAAATCGTACGCGTGCATATTCAACTCGAAGTAGACATGTCGTGCTTGACGTTTGCGCGAGCGATGTCTTCAGCCACAAGAAGGGAGCGACGGCTCAGCGACGTCTTCGTGCAAATCGGCTTGGTGGCCGGGCGTGTCGTACGGGATGAATACCAATTCTTTTGTTCAGTCCCAAATTTCTCTTTTAACGGTAGACAGAATTCGCCGGTACCGCGAACGACAGTTCTGAAATAGAGGTCCCACGCCCATCGTCCGCTACCATCGCCGTCCCCGCGAGTCCCACGATACGCGAAACGACGAACGCACAGAATGCTTCCGGTTGTCTGTGGAACGTTTTTTTTCAATCAACGTATTTACAGCTTTTTAGAAGCCACAAAAAATGGGTTTCATATTTATTTCTATTTTTAATATTGAGTGTGGGCCTTCAGTGACCCACGACTTTGATTGTGGTCGCATCGATACCTTAGAAAACGGCTCGTGACCGCGAAAAAGAGAGTGAGCGAGACTCGAACCGGCCAGTTCTTGATCGGCGATTTTCAGGCGGAAAAAAACCGAATTTCGAGCCGCAAATTCTGTTCTGGGTAGTTGAGCTCTCATATGTCACGTACAACTAAAAACCTCGGCAAGCATTAATACCCTGTCAGTGTCCCTTTAAAGGGACACTGACACCCCCCAAAATTTTTTTTTCATATTTTGCCAGGCGCTTCATTATGGTGTCGGAGGACTACCCAATTAATATTTTGCAACAGCATAGCGTATTTTTTTAATAAAGCCAAAAGACGCAACTGCTCGAAACCGAAACCCGACGGAGGTCGGAGAAGTGGAGAGAAGAGAGTGGAGTGGCAGAAGTCACGTGGCTACACCCGACCGTGCGTTTTTTTTTTTTTTCCTCCTCTCCGGTAGCAGACGACAGGACATGCGGCGTGCGATGCGGCGTGTGGGAACTGTTCGCCGTGAGTGATGTTTGTTCCGCTCGTTGTTCTGTACTCCAAGATGAGTTGTTTTGTACATTGAGAAGTTGGAGATGAGTAGTGAATGCCCGTGGTGAATTTCCATGATCGGCTCCGAAAAGAATACACCCAAGATGTTGCGTGAAGAGCTGGCTCACATGTCCTGCGTCCGAAAAAAAAGGGGCATTGTGCGACAGAGTTTCCGAAAGATCAACGGGATCGGGACCAATGGCTGGCTGCAATTCCTGTAGAACATATACGGACACCTCAGAAAGCGGACGTTACCCGATTTATATGCTCCTTGCATTTTGTGGAAAGTGATTACATTGAGTTCGCAGGTGTCAAAAAGGAAATCCCATACCATTTAATTCAGCGAAGTGTCGTCCACAACATGTGTTTGTTATTTTTTTGTTTGGTTCTTCAGTGATAATTGTAAAAAAGAAAATATGTAAACATCAAAAAATTAAAAAAAAAAAAAAAAGGTTTCATGGGGGATCGAACCCGGTTCTACCGCATGTGAAGCGGCCGTCTTTCCCACTGAGCTACTGGGACAATTTTTTTTTTTTTTTATATCTTTATTACATGATGTTCCGTAACTACCACAACACGTTCATTCGTACTGTATATACATTAAAACATGCACACCTTTAAAAAGCTATTTACAAACAACTATCACACAAATTTTTACATTTGGCATCTTGAACATGTGGCCATTAGACTTATTAGCAGACAATGACAAAACTAAGGTGAAAGATTCGGGCAAGTCTCACTTACGATCGCAGTTCTTTTTCTTCAGAAATTTGGTAAGCCAAGGCATTTGTCAAACATAGGGAACCAGTCAGGCTGGTTAAACTTTGAAGCATATACACTTCTCACCTGCGCCACTTGCTCTAGAAAGAGCGACTTCGTCGTACGCGGCTTCTCCGCATGCCTATCGATCATGCGGCACTTCCACAGACTATGCAAACCTAAAAGAGCAAACATGTCGTACGGTACGGTTTCATTTTCAGAAAAAGGAAGGAAGCGAAGATTGTAGTCGTTAAGAACTAGGTCTTTTTGTAGAGTGCGTTGCAGCACATCCCAAAACAAAAACGCATCATTACAGTATATGAAACAGTGTTCTATTGTCTCTGGCTTGTTACATAATCTACAGTTTACTGTCCAGGGTACAAATATTCCTTTTTCTTCGAGGTAAGTTTTAACGGGTAAAGTGGATGTGTGTAATTTAAAGAAAAACGTCTTAGTTGAGGGAGGCACTCCCATTTTCTTGACCCTTTTAAACACGTCGTTGATAGGTTCCAGTGTCAAACGGGTACGATAAAGTGGCAGAGGAAATAAGCTTTCTTTTATGCTCCTTGAGAGTGCCTTTCTGGATACAGTAAACAAATATTCCAACGAAAATCTTGCTTTGAGGAAGCTAAGTGTGTCAACCACTTCCTTTAAAAAGCCCCATGGTGTGCCTTGAGAGCTTTCGACGGTTGAAACAATCAGATAGTTTAAACTACCAGAAAGACGTCGTTGGAGCATTACTCTGAGGAAATCGTGATTAACATTTTTAAAGAAAAAGAATCGCGAGACCAGCTGTCGCACAAATATATGACAAAGACCTAAACCGCCGCATTCAAGAGGAAGAAAGAGATTGTCTCTTTTTATGGGCTCCCAAGTTGAACACCATATGAATGTAGCGAATATTCTGTGGATTTTCTGGATGTTGGTCCGAGAGCAGTGAAGCACCTGGAGCACGTACATAAGCTTAGAAGCTAGAAATACATTGCAAACACTAGATCTAGCGAAAATTGAAATGTCCCTTCCTCTCCACGCGTCTGTTTTCTTTTTCAGTGTGGTTGTCAAGGAGGACCAGTAGGTCACGTTGCTACGGATTTGTGAGAGAGGTACTCCGAGATATGTAAGGGGATTCCGGTTCCACGCTATACCAGCAAACAATGAAGGTTTTGTGGCCCAGGAACCATACCAGAAGCCATTGCATTTAGCAGGATTTACGGAAGCTCCTGTGACCTCACAGTAACGTGCTGTGAGATCAAGGGCTCTCTCGACGCTTCTCTTGTCTGTGCAAAAAAATGCCACGTCATCTGCATACGCAAGAACTTTTACTTCAACATTGCCCAGGGAGTATCCTTGAATACCTTCATTGTTTATGATGCTCAGACATTAAGGTTCTAAGTACAGGGCAAAAAGTAGCGGGGATAGCGGGCAGCCCTGCCTAACGGAAGATTTTATTTTGATTTCGTTAGAGAGAATATTATTGATGACGAGTCTTGTTGAACAGCTTGAGTAGCAAAGCTTGATACCATCTAAAAGTGTTGTCCCTACGTTGATATGGTTTAGCAGTGTAAATAAGAAGGAATGACTCACGCGGTCGAAAGCCTTTGTAAGATCTATTTGTACGAACGCTACCTGGTCGTTATTGTCGGACACGCACTCCAGTACTGAACGAGCAACATGAATATTCGTTTGAATAGCTCGGCCTCTTATTCCACAAGTTTGGTGTTTACCTATCAGCGTTTCGATTACGCACTGTAGCCTGTCGTTAAGTATTTTTGCATAAATTTTGTAATCAACATTGCACAAGGATATAGGTCTGTAATTTTCCATCTTTTTAAGCATCTCTGCGTCTTTTGTTTTTGGGATTAGTACTGCATGACCATGATAAAAGGAAGGCGGCAGAGCTCTTTGCACAAAGGCTTCGTGAAATACAGCGAGCAGAACAGGAGATATAATGTCTGCGTACGCTTTATAAAATTCTCCACTCAGCTCATCAGGCCCAGGCGTTTTACCATTAGGGAGAGATTTAATAGCAGCTTTGATTTCTTCCAATGTTATAGGACCATCAATTAACTTTCGGTCTGTTTCGTCAAGTATCGGCATTTGAGACAAAAGATGTTCAACTTCAGACTTCTCTTTCGTAGGTATTAGTGTTCCAAAAATATTTGTGTAAAGTTGATAGAATGATTTTACAATCTCTGTTGGGTCAGTGAGCGTCGATCCATTGTTGTTGATCTCTACAATTTCTTTCGTCAAGGCATATCGCCTTTCATCGTCCAGAGACCTCTTCGTAGGCTGTTCACCATGGAAGAAACGTTTCTTTCGAGAGCGGATCAAGGCTCCTCGATACTTTTCTGTTTCATATTTTTGTAGTTGACCTCAGACTACATTGACATCGTCACTATATTCACCTGGGTTAAGGCATTTCAATTCGTATAGCGTTGTTAGGTTCTTATGCAGTTCACGCTGTTCCTGTTTGTTTATGTATGATATTATCGTGGAGCGCTCAGTTGCATGGTTTTTCGTCTCTTGCTTGAAACTGTCCCATTTAGCAAATATATGCATGTCGACTTTTTCTAGAATATGTGACAAGACCATGGGGATCTTTCTTGAGAAAGAAATGTCTTTTAGAAGTTTCACATTTAGCTTCCAAAAATCCCACTGTTGATAAACAGATCGGTGTCTCCGCGGACCAAAACAAGCTGTTACTAGGCAATGGTCGGAGAAGAACACTGGTTTAACGTGGTAGTCGGTCATAGAGTCAATTATAGAGCCCGATACATAAATCCTATCTAATCGCGCATGCGAGATGCCTTGAAAATGTGTGTAACGTATCGGTTCCCCTTTCCTATAAGCAACATCAGCAAGGTTATGCTCTTGAAGCATGCTCTGAAGAACAGTGGCACTTCTGTCATACCTAGTTGCTGATACAGATCGATCGTCTACGTTACAAACACAATTGAAATCTCCCATTAGGACTATCGTTCTGTCAGTCCTAAGAAGTGGTACTAAAATTTCAAAGAATGATGTTCTTTCCTTCGGGGTATTAAGAGCATATAGACAAATGAAGCGCCAGTTCATCTGTCTAAAGCTGAGGTCACAGGAAATGAGACGCCCTTCCAGGTCGATAAAAACGGAGACTGATGACATATCAAGCTGCTTTCGAAAGAAGAGAAAGCACCCAGCGGAGACCCCAATAGCTTGGTTAACGCATATTTCATATTCCTTCATAAAAGGCTCTAAAGCTTCAGCAATACTTTCGTCTGAAGATAGCTTCGTCTCTTGCACCGCTGCTACGTCAACTTTCTCCTCTCTAAAAAGGCGCAACAGCTGATATTGTTTCCTTCTAGAGCATAGACCTCTCACATTTAAGGTTACAAAATGTAAAGGAAGGGCGGCAGACATAAGGAAAATTAGGGTGTACTCAAGTTGCCACTTTGGCTGTCCTCAATGACCTTGAGGTTTGCCGATGGCTTTGAGTACGGCTTGTGTCGAGTGCCAGCCTGCTTGCGTTCTTTTATGGCTCTTGTTGGAGCGGTCACATCCGCGGAGGGAATGTTGTCCGGGTCAGCCTCGAAAACAGCCTCTGGCATTTGAGTTGGCTGTAATGGTTCAACGGACGATCCACTGACATCGGGCTCCGAGTCCACCTCAACAAGTGCCTGATCTCGGCTTGCAGCATCTTCAGCAGTGATGGTCGATTCTGACGTCGTAGATGACGTATCGTCCTCGCCAGGTGGTGGAGGTGGCTCAGGAAGGCCACCGGGGTCGTCTTTGGCCTGGTTGGTGCTGGGCACCGCGACTGGCAGTTCTCGTTCAGTGCACTTTTCGAATGTTGCGGCCGACGGTGCTTGACCCGAAGCGTCGACAATCTCGGAGACATCCATCAATAGCTCCGACTGTTCTTCTGTCTCGCGCGACACCTTGCCACGGAGTTTACTTGCGTAAGTTGTGACGCAAGTGTCCGCGATGTGTCCGTAGATGCCACACTTGAAGCAGCGCGGTGTTCTGCACTGCTGTCGAATGTGACCGACCCTGTTGCACCTAAGGCACAATGGAGGTCTTCCGGGGACAGTGACGAGCGTCTGGATTCCGAACACCTGAAGCAGGTGAGGAATCCGTTCTATGGTCATTCCTTCGTGCATGGTGATGTTTACTTCCCTGTTCAGGGTGTCCATGTGTTCCATTCCTGGACAGCGCCACTTCTCTCGTTGTATGTTATGAACGACGCCGAAAGGCGTCGGAGCGTCAACGATGCGTCTATCTTCAAGATGGTCAGGAAGCCACAGGAGTTTTATCTTAAGATCACGTGTGTTAGGGTCGATCACCAGGCATTTCTTGCCTTTAACGAGGAGCTCACCGCGGCGGCAGAGCTTTTCTTTGGCTAGGGCGTTGACGCAGGTCACCATCCACACATGGCCCATCTGAAATTGACCGGTGGCTTTGATATCTTTTAAGTCCAGCACATCTTTGAGAGCATCTCGGAAGTCGGGTGCATTGTATGGCCGCGCAGTCATGTCAGCGTGAAGGAATACCGAGTTAAGGACGAGGTTACCGGTTGGGAGACGTGGAAGGGTGACTTTGTACTCACTTGAGACAATATCAGACGATTCAATAATAACTCGGCCGGTGGCCGATGCGGTGTTTCCACCAGAACTCATTATATAGCAGCCGTTCCAGACGGCTTCTTCGTCTTCCTCCCCAGCTACTGGGACAACTCTTCTCTGCGGGATCTCTTTTCTTAGTAATAATTGAGCCGGTAAACTGTAAGTTGGAAAGTTAGCTGCCGATTTTCTTCTAGCAAAAGCACTCCCGGGTCGAAGTCGGGAAGCACCACGCATTGGCGACATTCGCACCTTGTAAAAAAATCGTACGCGTGCATATTCAACTCGAAGTAGACACGTCGTGCTTGACGTTTGCGCGAGCGATGTCTTCAGCCACGAGAAGGGAGCGACGGCTCGGCGACGTCTTCGTGCAAATCGGCTTGGTGGTCGGGCGTGTCGTACGGGATGAATACCAATTCTTTTGATCAGTCCCAAATTTCTCTTTTAAAGGTAGACAGAATTCGCCGGTACCGCGAACGACAGTTCTGAAATAGAGGTCCCACGCCCGTCGTCCGCTGCCATCGCCGTCCCCGCGAGTCCCACGATACGCGAAAAGACGAACGCACAGAATGCTTCCGGTTGTCTGTGGAACTTTTTTTTCAATCAACGTATCTGCAGCTTTTTAGAAGCCACAAAAAATTGGTTTCATATTTTTTTCTATTTTTAATATTGTGTGTGTGCCTTCAGTGACCTACGACTTTGATTAAATTTGGAGGTCGCATCGATACCTTAGAAAACGGCCCGTGACCGCGGAAAAAAGAGTGAGCGAGACTCGAACCGGCCAGTTCTTGATCGACGGTTTTCGGGTGGAAAGAAACCGAATTTCGAGCCGCAAATTCTGTTCTGGGTAGTTGAGCTCTCATATGTCACATACAAATCAAAACCTCGGCGAGCATAAATACCCTGTCAGTGTCCCTTTAAAGGGCAACTGCTGTCGATAACGAAACTCAAATAAACGACTGGTATTGCTTTAGTGGCACAAAATATGATCACAGCCGAAATATTACGTCGAAGCGAAGCCACACACTCCACTAAAACCGATTTTAAAGTGGCGACCAGCTTTTCCTTGGCAGGTGGCAAGTGGGTTAGCTTTTAGTCAAGCAACGCTGGCGCAGCACCATGTTAATGTCACGTTGCGGCTGTACGGGTGTTGATGGGTGTTGCTATCCCTCCATCAGATAGTTTCGGTTTTGCCGTAGACGTTCGAAACCAAACTTTGAGCTGTGATATTAGCACAATATTGAGAAAAAAAGTTATGCCTTGTAGTTCAGGGACACTGCCTAAGCTGAAAACTGTCATAATCCCAAATTAAAACATATTGACTGGAGTTGCCCTTTAAGTATTTCTGACGATGTTATCAGTGACCATTTCTTATAGATGTAGTGCGTAAACTTGACCTCTAATATACAATCGAGCCCGGTTATACGACACATATTTCGAATTATAGTTTATATCAAACAGTACAACCATCCCCTTGAACATCACATGTAATACTATAGGAGCGTTGTCTTTTTGTATCGAACCTCCATGATTCCCATGGCGGGAACACTCAATGTAGCGAACCGACCGAAGCCCCGCTGTCCGTTGCTTTTCCCGCGATCCGATTGCGCCGGTGGCGAGCACATTGCTCGCGTTGCGGGGCTGTCAGACTGCCAAGCCAGCATACGCAGCGTATGTAAGATACACAGCGAAAAGCAGTTTAAAAAAAAAAAGAAGCAATAAATCGTAAAAAAAAGAAAAAAGTGGAGGATGGCAAAAGCAAGGGGTAGCAGGGAGAGCAGGGAGTGCCCGCTGTTGGAACAGTAGCCTGTGCCCTTTCCCCAAACACTGCTGATGCTGCTTGACTTCCTAGCCCCAAAATAAAATGAGCAGAAAAAAAAAACAAGTCTTCGGCAAGTCGAGTGTGTGGACAACAACGGTTGTGCAATCATACTTTGAAGGTCTTGTCTTTGTTACCTTTTCTTTTTGCTGTTATTGCTTTTCCTCTTTTTTTTCTTTTTTCTTTTGACTTTTTTTTTTTGCTGCCTGAATTTAGTGAGCTTTCTTTTTGACGAAAGTAATCCCTGGAGAAGGGGAACGAGAGGGACAAACGACAAACACAAATCTCGAAACACAGCTAGGTAACTGGTGAGCGACCGAAAATTATAATATAATTACAACCTTAAATTGCAAGCTTCTCCATTGTTGGTGTTAGACTGGTGGTGGCTGATAAAACCCGTTCGCTCTACTGACGTCTAACTCCTGGTTAGCTCAGTTGGTAGAGCGCTCCACCTGTAATGGAGAGGTCCCGGGTTTAATACCCGAACCAGGCGGATTTTTTCGGTCGCTCACCAGTCGCCTAGCTGTGCTTGGATATTTGTGTTTGTCCTTTGTCCCTCTTCTCCAGGGATTATTTTCGTCATTCTTGTCCTGCTCGCTTGCACCTTTGCATTTAATTGCATTATAATTTCTTTTTTGTTGCTTGCTTAACTTTTTTTTATGCGTTTCTTTTTTGTTTTTCATTTTTTTTATTTTATTAATTTCGTGCTTATGCTCTGTGGAGGTCCCGGCCAGGCATGCGTGTAAGCGCGGCTGTGTTTGCAATCTGTGCCAACTACGCTCTACTGTATTTAGCAGCTCTTGGATGCTCTATTTGGTAAGCGATCCCGTTTGTTGCGACCTTTGGTAATAGCAGAGACGTTAGGAAATTTCAACTCGAGCTTAATTTAACATATTTTTGTATATCAAAGTATTGATATATCAAACTATTTATGATCCCCTTTGAATTCAATATATCCGGGTTCAACTGTACTGCCAAACCTTCACTCTAGTTAGTCACAAAGCGGAAGGGATTCCCTGATGGAAAACGCTTGAGTGGTTTCTCGCCGTGAGCGGTCACAAGACAGTCGATCGCACTCGGATGCAGACGTGTGAACCAGCCGCTACTCGTATTATTTCTGACCAAGAACCTCACTTCCAGGTGTGTCGAGGAGAACACCCCTCTCCTAGAAAGGGCCATCTCTCTCAGACACAAGGTACGGCCCTTCGATCCGTCGTCTCCGAGGAGGCCCCGCTTAACGACAGCATTTCAGTGTCGTGACGTCTCGTCCTCCAGAAAGCCAAGCTCCTTAACTACGAGACCCACGCAGACTTCATCACAGAGATCCTGATGGCAAGAAACAGCGGCAACGTGCGTCGTTTCCTCACCGAGCTCGCGGAGAAACTGCAGCCCCTATGGCAGAAGGAGAAGCAGCTGCTGCTGCAGTACAAGAAGGAAGAGGTGCGACAGCATTTCATTGTCTAGAACCAGTTGTGGCCACCAGACACGTAACAAAGTAAAGTCTTTGTTACTTTTTCTGAACTGAAACAAGTATGTTTTAGTCACTTTATTGAGTAGTGAGTAACGATATGTAGTTACTTTGTCAGAGGAACCTGTGCATGTCTAGTGTATAGCCTTGCTGCAACTTTATTGTGTGCTGCATGTTCAGTGCTGTCCATGCCCCTCAACTCTTTTTGTTTTACAAGGTCTTTACAAGGTCTTTCACAAAACACGGGCAGAATCTTGTCTGCACTGCCTGGAACACCCTGTGTATGGATGTTCGATCCCAACATCTATCCGCAAGAGTAGCTCTCGCTCGAGTGCCTCGTTTCTCTTGTTGTCCAACTATCCATGTCATATAAAGTCTGGTAGGACCACGGTTTCTTGTGGTGTCACTCCGTTGGATAGACACAAGTTCTGAATTGCTGACTCTCTTGTGTTTTGAATGCGGTGCAGGAAATTAGTAATGAAGTTTTGCTCTGTCGTGAACTCTACCAGGTGACATTTGTTGTTTACGAACACACGCAGACAACAGCTGTGACCTGTTAACACAAGCTTGTGACAAATGTCTGTCCACACAAGCAGGCGACAAATGTCGTCTGTCAAGCAGAGGCCAAATGTTATCTAACAATACAAACAGACAACATGTGTCGTCTGTCAACACAGGTCAAAAACAAATGTCACCCGTTAACTCGAGCCAATAACAAAAGCAGATAACAATTTTTGTTTGCTTGTTTCAACAAGCTGCAGTACTCGTGTTCAAGCAAAGTGGTGCTTGTGTTTAGTCAAGGAAGCAGTTGTTTACATTTGTGTGGTCTCAATGTTTCCCATGTACATTACTGCAGTGTGAGAGAGCCAGGGAATTCCCTTTGACGGCAGGCTCAACGCTTGGGACCTGTCGTACTACCAGAACCTGGTGGAAGAGCGCGTGTACAAGGTGGACCAAGAGAAGCTTCGGGCCTTCTTTCCTCTGGATGTGGTCACCAAGGGGCTGCTAGGAATATATGAGGTATGCACCGAGCGTATGCAGTGCAAAAAAACTCCCCGACCCCTCCTTTCCAACATCAACTGTTCAGCTGGCAATGAGTTAGCGCATCTGGCATTCACTCGTTGCCATTCCTGAGAATTCCGCGCAAATAGGGTGGCACAAACAGCCTGCGTCCATGCTAGGACGAGGCGGATGAACTCGGATCCTCGAATGAAAAAGCAACACGTTTGGCACCGAAAAGGGATCGTTTTTAGATGCGGCAATGCAAACAAATGGCCTTTTATGGGATGTAGGCAGTCCATTGTAATTCAAAGTGCATGCATCCACATGTTTTAAGAAAAAGTTGCTTGACAGAAAGAAGTCATCTGGAAACCTTCATAGCGACAGCCATTGTTTCACTTCGTTTCAAAACGGGGTGCAATGTCATCTACTTTTCGGAAGCATACCAGCATATTTCTTCTTGGTGTTTCTTTGTTTAGCTTATGCCACGTCTGGAGTTTCTTGGGCCTTAGTTTCTGCTGTAAGGAATGTCGTTGGAGGCTTGGATTATCTGCCGGGTTTCTATTACTGCTGAAACGCTCGCACATATACTGCTTCGACCATTTTGTGTCGTACTACAAAGAAATCTGCCTTTGCATTTTCATAATTCTCATCATGCTGTTGCGACAGTTGTTACTGCATTGTTACGTTTAATGGGTGCCTGTATTGACAGATGCTGCTGGGCCTCAAGTTCGACAAGGTGGAGGACGTGAAGTTGTGGCACTCTGAGGCTGAGCTGGTGAGTCGACCGGTCAATTAAGTCGTTCGTTGAAGCCTGAGACAGTACTGCCTCAGACTGTAGTTCGTTTCACTTTATGTGCGAGCGAAATGTTTAAAAGTGCACTTAAAAAGTTTTATATGAAAACAGTGTTCAGGTAAGAAATATTTTTCAAATGGCATGCACGTGGATGCAAGGAAACCACTGCACTATATATTTTTGCACATTTGGAACGGATCCAAAACTAGCCAAGGAGGCTGCAGATCCAAACGCGTTTGTGCAGTGTGTTCTGTGTATATTTTTCAATAGAGTTGATCGATTGAAAGTGGAGCTACAGACACGTTCTTGTCGCTCTAGACGACGCCTGCACTGCAGGAGCGCGCACGCTCGACGGGGACACTGGAAGCCAGGAGCTCATTCTTGGAGTCCATGCTTCACTCACGCTTATAATGAAGCGGAGTACGGGGCATTGCATCCTCACTGTCCCCTCTCCGCAGTTCAAGGTGACGGACGTCGCCAGCCAGGAACTTCTAGGCTACTTCCTCATGGACCTGTTTCCGAGGGAAGGGAAGTACAGCCACTTCTGCAACATCCCCATGCAGGTGGGTCCGTCTTCAAACTGCCGCTGTCTCCAGAGCTTTGGCTAGCTGCGGGAAAGATCACTCTGCCTTTAAGATCGACGAGCAGCCAGAAAGGAGGAACCTCTCAATTCCTTTTTTTTGCGGGGAGTAGCTGAGAGACCTGCTCTTGTGGGGAGAGGAGGAGAGAAGAGAGGGAATGGAGAAAAGGAAACTGACGAGCTTTGTACCATTGACTCGTGTGCCCTGCCGCTTTTTTTGCTTTTGGGTCATAGCTGGAACAAAACGGGAATCGGTGGCCGAGTCAGTTAACACTTCGTAGCCCGAAGCAGTTAGAGTGAAAGCTTGTGCTACGGAGCTCTGGAATTCTGTGTTCAACGATCCGCCCCGGCTTAGTTCGATCCGGACGGGCATCGTGTATCATTACTGCAGGATGCACAACAATGTCCCCTGGCCAGCAGTGGCTAAATTTCTGATCTACATCAGAAACTCCAGGTGCCCACGGGGGACATCTAACCTTCTGCTGTCTAAGCAAACACACAAAACAAAGCGGGGTTAGATTTTTTCGTCGACTGAAGACGAGACTGTGCCCTCTTGCGTTCGTAAACAAAATCCGCCAATGTATTAAACCTCATCCAGTGCCAACGAGACCAAAACTGCGACTGTGTTTTGCGCAGCCTGGCTGTCGGATTGCTGACGGATCGAGGCAGCTGGCGGTGGTGAGCATCCTGTGCAACTTTTCGAAACCCACCACTGACAAGCCTTCTCTCCTGACCCAGTACGAAGTAAGCCCACTTCAAAATCTTCCGTGATCTGTCGGAGAAAAGGTCGAGCTCTGCTGGGGCACCTCGGAGCACTCCCGAAGTGCCCGAGTTCATACTTCGACCATGTTTTTGCAGGGACACCCACATAGAATGTAAAGGCGACTGCGCTAATTCTGGTGCTTAAAACCATCTGGCGGTACGTAGGTATTTATAATAATTAGGGGCGTACGAATACCGAATAGTAGTTTTCAAATTGAATACCGAATCGAATAAAAAAAAAAGCCGAATATTGAATAGTGATTTTATTTGCAGGAATTTTTCAAAGTGTGCTGCGAATGAGATTATTATATGTGCAGAGTATGCGCCTGGTGCAGAATATGCATCTTGTATGGAACAAAAGCTAAAATGCAAAAAAGTTCTGGTGGAAAAAAAAAGCAGTTGCTGTTGGACGTTGGGCACTAAAGATAAAATTTTATGGCGCAAACACAATCTATCTACCCTGAATGTCTAGCAAAAAAACCGAAGTTACAGCCACGTGTGCCTTTTTTTCTCGTTAAAAGCACAACTTAACATTGCGACTTTTTTAAAAAATATTTGTTTATCTCAGAAAAGGGGCATTTTGCGATATTTGGTATCCATTTTAAAGGGCAACTCCGCTTCATTTTTGGTTTTGAAAAAATAATGCAGTCCTCTTCAGTATCGCCTAGAAAGACCACACGTCAAATATTACAACGCAGTTTTGTCTAAATGTTTCTTAAACGGTCCGGCAAACTTTGCAACTCGCCAAGTTGCCGAAATCGGGTGACTCGAGCGGGCAAATTCAGGCGCAACCAACAGCGCAGTCAAGGCTACGGCATGGGTGGAGCCAACATTGAGCTAAACGTCATCATCATGGCCCCCTTTTGCTTGTTTTTACTTCTCCGATCGAGCGTAGCGCATGTCATCAGCAACGTTGCCTCTCTGCGCTCCGCGGTGTCCACGTGATTGGCGTACGCGCCTGCGCAGCGCGCTTCTTGGGAGCATACCAACCGCCCGCCGTGGTCCCGCCGTTACCGCCGTCTTCCACGTCACAACCACCGTCGTCGTCTCACCGTTTGTGATGATTGCCTCTCGGAGTTCCGTCCATACTATGGACACCAAGTGCGCAAAGTCGCAGACTTATGCCGCAGTTGTGCAGACGTCGTCGAATGCCGTAGACGCCAAAACGTGGTGAAGAGTGCGGTGCAGACAACACTCGTGCCTGCCACACGCCCGCCCCCATCCCACCCGTCGTTGGGCCGAGGATCACGTGACACCTCGTACCACGTCATGGCCATGTACTTGGCGGCCCGAGGCCAATGTTGCCGGACGGAGCCGAAGTTTTGGTTTCGATTTCCGCTTGTGTTTAAAATTAGATTTAAAAATATATATCCCATTTTTTGCGAAGCAAACGACGTAGTGTCTTTTACTAGGGCTTTTTAATTCGAAATCACTCATTATCCCGAAATCTTCGGAATTGAGCGGAGTTGCCCTTTAAGGAAGAAAAAGGGCACCCGGGATTTTTTTTACATAAATAAACAGATAGGTGTTAAATCTGAGTATACAGGCTTAAACAATATAATCTTAAGTAAGAAAAAAAAAAATTGGTTGGGTGGCGCAAGTCACCGTCCAACTGCCGGTATGCATCCATTTTTCCGTCTATCTATCCTGTTTTATAGAGCCTTGATTTGAAGAAGCAAGCGAAACTGAAACCAAGGAGACGGCTCCAGCGCAGATTGGTGGCAAGTGCACATGTGTTGGGTTGTCGCGTGGAAAGAAGGCGAGCGAACAGAAGAGTGACGACACCTGCCCCGCCTGCCTGATCCCGATCGATGCTTTCGTCTTTTCGTTACCTTCTCACAGTTCGTAATTCAAACGCGGCTATCGAACGGTTGGAAACCCTCTCAAATCTAGGCACACCATTTTTCCGTACAGGTTCGTTCCGAATCGTAATTCGCGGCTTGCGGTGCCAAAAGAATGACGACGATAACTCGGCTGGTTTCATCGGCGTGGTTAACGTGGTTTTCTTTCTGTGATTGTACAGTCGGCAATTTCTGTGAGTGCGGCAAGTGTGTTTTTACATCGGCGCTTCAATTTGAAACGGGGGGCTTTACTCGTGAAAAGAATTAGGCATGGCGTGGAATTCTGGCTTCCCAACTATTCCTCTCTGGAAGCGGCGCAAACGGGATGTTTCGGTTGTTATTCAAGGGTAGATTGTGTCACGATCGTCAGTAAATCTGCGTGCTATAAAGTTTGTGGTGTTCGTTACTTTTCTTTTTCCTAACATGTGCATTAGACTTTTGTGGAATGGTAGGACCAAGAGCTGTTTCTCGCATGGTCTGTCTAACATCACGGCGCTTACATCGGGAGAAAAAACGGTTTTTCTGTCAGCTCCACGCCGACCGCGCGTCTTTGGCCGAAATATAGAATATTCGAGTGACTAGGAATTCGATTCGCGAATCGAATTATTCGGGAACTTTCTATTCGATTGGAATTCGTATATTCAAGTAATCGCACACCCCTAATAATAATAGTTGTTTCGGCTGCCACTCCCGTTGTCAGACTATGCGGTAGACGCAGTGCACGACACCAACTAATTGCCATTCGTTTGGCGAGGCTTGTTGATAAGCTAGTTGTCAAAACAAGTAGGTCCTTGTACTTCGAACGTTACGCTCACCGAAGTATATTAGATGCATTATGTAAAGTTGCAAGTCACACTTGGGGTAAAGTATGTGGCACGGACCCAAAAAGTGACAGTGGAGACGTAACAAGCGCGGACACCGTTTCAACAACTGACCGAATGTGCCCTACTGTGTCTCCTTATGCGAGTCACCGTCGTTTGTACTGCCGATTGTTATTGCGAGTTTCAGGGGTCTTGTGTTTGCAGTTTTTTTTTCTTTTCAGGTGACGACCTTCTTCCATGAATTCGGCCACACGATGCACCACATGTGTTCCAGGGCGGACTTGGTCGAGTTTGCGTGCGTCCTGTTTTCCTGAAGTTTCCACAAACAAGCTCTTTTCAACTAGGAAGGGGGACAAGTGGTTGAGTGTGTTGTCGCACCGCACCTCGGTGCACGGGGTGCGATAGCTCGCACTGCAGAACCCATTTTAATCTCCACCCCTTCCCCTTTTTATCCGGACCAGCATTGTACCAGGATGCCGTGGTGTAAACACTGCTACAGTAAAACCTCGTTATAACAAAACGGGATATAACAAACTAATGGATATAACAAAGCAATCATAATTCCCCTTGCTTGCTAATAGTGGGAAGAAATGGACATTGGCTATAACAAACTAATGGTTATAACGAAATAATTATGACCGCTCCTTCAACTTTGTTATAACGAGGTTTTACTGTATGTGGTGCGTGCGTGGTCCCAGACTTTTTTCGTGGTCTCCGATTTGCCTCGCAATTGAGCAAATGCAAAAACTGCCATCGCTGAAGTAGTGATCCAAATATTGGGCCAAAATAATACTTTTTGCCTCAAAGTTGTAGAATTTACAATTTTGGTCCTCACTGCCTTTTTCAAACAGTCTCCACTGGCAACGACGGAAAAGTGACACCATCGGCAGGCAGAGGTTCGCTCTTTGAACGGTAGAATTTGTTCTTAATTAATTAGGAGAAGTTTGATGGCACGACATGAATGTTTGGAAAGCTAGCCGAATCCAGCGCCTGTCCAGCAGCACAAAATAAAGTTGCGCCACATTGTGTTTTCTAGAGTGCCTGCTCGGCGAAGCAAGCCTGCCTGCCAGTGACGTCACGCCACTGAAAATGTGCAGTTATATTACAGCGGAGCTGTTAAGGGCTAGCTTCCCCAGTTTCGTGTCCATGGACAAATAAATCTGGACACAAAACTCTGGACAGCTACCGCCATCTATGAACGACAGCGGCAACCAGACGACTGGCTTGCCGTTTGTCTGGTTGCCGCCGTCGCTCATAGATGGCACCCTTTCCAGCCTTTCCACTCTGGTTCTCACTAAAGTGGAAAGGCTGAATTTCTCTACTCGTCGTCCTTCAGGACGATGCCTAGAGGACGACGTCCTTTAAGCGCCATCCTCGAGGTCGTCCTAGAAGTTGTGCTTGAAATCGTCCGAGACGTCGTCCTTGAGGTCGTCCTAGACTTCCTGTAGGCGTCGTTCTTGAGGTCTTTTTATCAAAGTACAGCTCTGCTGGTCTTCCGTCTTCACCAGAGTGGAAAGGCTGAAAGTTTTTTTAATGTTGGTTTTGATACCATTTTCACTGGACGATTTCGCAATGACTTGCGAATTTTGTGATACTACCATATTTTCCGAACTATGGTTAGTGGACTATACGTTTAAAAGTTTTATCCAGTGCGAACTATCTACAGGTGCACACTGTACAAGGATTTATATTTTTCCAGATCGCTCACTGTGACAAAAGTTGAAGGATTTTGTGAATAACAGAGTATATTAATGTTGATTTATGTATGATACAAGCTTCTTTGTGAGCTAATACAGCTGGCGTTTGTCAAGGCGGGCTGCGTATGACCATTTTTACGTTCGGACTATGCACAGCGTGCGGACTATGCACTGGGTGTGGGCTATCTAGGCAATTTTTGTTTTTGACGCCAACTTTGCCTTCGCAGACTATGCGCCAGACATAAGCTTTAGTCCAGAAAATACGCTAAATAGCATGCCGAAAAGGGTAAAGGCCGGGATGCATAAAGCATAGTTGGGGTAACTAAAAAAATTGCTGGAGTGCCCATTTCAAGACCCCGTTCTAACAGTGGGATTGCTCTGGCTAAATTCCTCGCCTACAACCGAGATACCAGACACCCATTGGGGCCGGCTAACTTCCTGCTGCCCAAACAAACCCATGGCACAATTACAATTTCTCGTCGGAAGCCGTTGATAGCGTTCTTGCCGGACTTGCGAGATTCAAATAGACTTCCTCGCATTAACGGCGCCTTCTTTTACGGCTTCGGACGGCTTGCAGGGGCCCGAGGGTCGAGACGGACTTCATGGAGTGCCCGTCCCAGATGCTGGAGAACTGGAGCTGGGACCTGGAGGCCCTGCGGCTCATGTCCGGCCACTACTTGACCGGAGAGCCGATACTGGAGGACCTGGCTGAGAAGCTGATGGCCTCTCGCCTCGCCAACGTGGCCCACCTTAACCTCAGGCTGGTCAGCCGCTCACTCTTCGACCTGGAGCTGCACTCACGGCCCGAGGTAAGCGGGACTTGCACCCAACTTTGATCCTATAGATTTTTTTGCCGTTTCTCAAAATGCCTTGGCTAAACCGGGCACGAGATGGCAGACGAGAGAGAATGCCCTGTATCATATTTTCCAGCCCATAAGCCGGACCATTGTAAAACTCCCGAAAAGGTTTGTATATATTAGTTACACTTCTTTGCATTTGTCCAGTTTTGTCACTCAGACCACCAAAAAGGGAGGCCGTCGACGGGTGCTTTGCCAATCTTTCTTTGTCGTAAACGTCGCCGCAGCTTACATTCCGCACAGACAAGGTTAGAAAAAAGAAAAATGCAAGTAAGACTCGCTGATGAAGATTTTGGAAAAAAATGGCGACTGATACGCCGGAAAATATGGTACTGCCAAGTTACGAAGCTTAGACGCGTTCACGGGAGGCGATCGTTTTTGGTCTAACGTAATAGCTCGCCGTAACTTGGGACTCTTTTGACCAAACAAGGTAGATGCTGCTGTTTTTCTTTTGTTTCGTTTTGTAGAAGAACAAACTTCCGACATCGCACCAAAGAAGCCACCATCTTTGGTCCGACGTCGGAAACCAGGTGTACCATGGCTGCACACGCTAAGGCGGATCTGGCAAAATATGGTCCATTGTTTCCGGAGCATTTCCTTTTGTGCGATTCGGACTTGCGTAAGCCTCGAAACGTTGCTGCGGTTTTTCAGACAGATACAAGGAAGGTGTTCCGAGAGATCCAGGAGTCGCTCTTGGGATACTCTCCCCAGGAGGGGACCAACTCTGCAGCCAGCTTCGGCCACTTGATGGGAGGCTACGACGCCCAGTACTACGCTTACCTGGTGGGTGCGCGTAGCCTGCAGACCTGGTTGACCGGATGGCGGGACGGCAGTCTCCCACCTCGGTTTTAGTTGGTGGCAGGAAACCATTTTACATGATTATAGTATTTATGGTTTGGATGGTGTTACTAACCACATCTTCAACGAGACGCGTCAAGATGAGGAAAATGGCGGCCGATGAAGCCCACAAATACGTGGGGATGAATGGCGTCGGGTACCAAGCCTCATTTTCCCGTCGAATGCTTCAGGGAATCGCTTGAATTTTTGAATGAGATAACGGTTAGTTCTGAAACTTTGGCATCTGTCCCGGACTGCTAGTGTCACCTTTAAATGGAGAGTGAGCGTTAGGGGATGCATGGTTTGTTTTTGTTGCGAAAAAAAGGGTTTGGTAAATTTATTTTTAGGGGGCACACTGTAGATTTGTGCTATGCAGCTTGACAAGCCTGTTCTGATTGGGCTGCAACTTCCCTCCGATAACATCAAAGTCTAAGCTAGACTAATGGCGTCGCATGGAAAACGCCCCTCTGTCGTGCAGGCGCACTGCTAAACAGCGGCTCGCATTCCGTTTTGCGGGATTGATTTTTGGCGCTCAACCTTTTACGGCGAAGGGATTAGTACAACAGAACTCTTTGCCGGTCCCACGGAATTGGTTATAAAGGCGTTCGACTGTATTTTCCTTGCAGTGGAGCGAAGTGTACAGTATGGACATGTTTGACACAAGGTTCAAGAAGGAAGGTATACTGAATCCGAAGACTGGCATGGACTATCGCGAGAAAATCCTGTGCCCAGGAGGCAGTCTGGTACGTTTCTGTGGTCGCCATGGGTTTGCTCTTCGTGGCTGGAGCATCCGCTTTATAAATACCAATCATTTAACCAACTGCTTGTCTTCCTGGTTTAACATATACTAGTCTACTACTACATCAGTATTGTCAGCACTGTAGTTGCCATGTAGCTAGCACAGCAGGTGGCAAAAGCTTCCAACCGATTGGAAGGATACAGGCCCGTCCAGTCGAGTGAAGTCTTGCCTTCTTTTTCCCTCGTCTCAAGGATGGCGAAGTGATGCTGAGGAACTTTCTGGGCAGGGAGCCAAGCACGGAGGCATTCTTCATCAGCAAGGGACTGTCCACTGCAGGTCCAGCATCATAATTTTTTTTAACAAAAAAAATAGGAGCAATGCTTATTTTAAATAAATTCTTTTTACAATCTTGTAGCACGCCTTTCAATATGAGAATCTAATCATTCCGACAAACAGCCGAGTGTGCTAAACAAACTGTGCGAATTGGGTGATCCACATTCTCGCAATATCAGGTTTTCAAAATCTACGAGTTTTGTAATTACTGGATCAAGAACAGGTTTAGTGGAAAGTGTTACCAGACCTCAAGCAATGAAGCTAGATCCTGTTGGCTAGAGCTCCTCAGAAACTGTTTTAGGGGCGAAGCTCCTTAGTGTCTAGCCTTGTCCGTCCGGCGTCCGTGCTCACATCGATCTTGCTGATGCTCGTGATCGTGAGCTCACGTGCTCGTGCAGGGGAAAAAAAAAAAAAAAAATTATGAAGAAAAAATGTTTGCGCAGTTGACAGGATTCGAACCTCTGCGGGGAGACCCCAATGGATTTCTAGTTCATCGCCTTAACCACTCGGCCACGACTGCGGTACGAGTAGGGGGCTCGGAGATGTGGTAGTAACTCAAAAGCTGGGGATGTCATGGATGTAACGTTGCATGTAGCCGCTCAACGTCTATACAGGAGAGGGCGCTGCAGTCAAGTGCGTATATAATCGCGTTAAACTTTGCATGCATTGGCTCAACGTTTATAGACGAGAGGGCGCTGCGGTCAAATGCGTATATAACCACGTTCCATACCACACATTCGCTTTCGGACATGGATGAAAACGAACGAAAAGCTCGGCATGCTGCGGCTCAGCGTCTACGCAGACAAGCACCACCAGAGCTTCGCCCCAATCAACATCATTCACCACGTGGAGATACGGTCAATTTTTTGGGTCTGTTTTCGACTACCGTCTTGGTCCCCCAAGTTTGTAGAAATAAGCCTTTTGCCTTTTCTCGACCAGCGCAACGAGAGGAAGCGGAAGAGAACTATAAGTATTCTTAAAACCCTACTCGCACAAAATGTAATTGCGCATTCAAACCTTGGCCTAAGATCTTTTTATGGTCCAAAGAGGAGGCAATTCGTGCTCATTGTGGATTTGCATACAAAACAGAAAATTGAAAGTGAAAAGAAAAAATGGTATTGTCAGCAAATGAAAAAGTCAATGGAAGAAGTCACCGTTGGCACAAAGATTAGGAATCCCTGCACTATGGCAGTTACAAGGGACACCACCAAAGTTGGAACCCTAGAAATGCTACCTATTTATTCCACTTTGTAGCCACTAGTGCCACTAAATCAGCTACGCTTCAGAGTAATGACACTTGCCCATCTTGTGGCTTAAAGGGGCACTGACACATAGAAATCATTTTTTTTTTATTATCCGAAACGATTGAAAATGATGCCGGGACATTACCCTCAAAATTTGAAATTTGGGAATTCAGTATTTGTGAAGTAAAAAACAATTTCCAAATGCCGAATTCGAAGTTCCCGCGCTATCCGCGCCGGTGCGTCGACGTCAAATATTACAGAGTCCTGAGAGTCCACTTGTTTTTCACGACTCCCTGCTGTTGCCATGGCGACCCAAAGCGAGGAGGAAAGGAGCGAGCGCCCGGCGGACCGGTTTTGAGCGGTGTCGCCTGTTTTCCGTCGGAGGATACAAATCCAGAAGACGGCACCACAACGAATTTCCGATTTTTGGTATTTCAAAAAGAACCGTAGTGCGTTCGCAATTGCGTTAAAAACGTTTTAGGATTGCCGTTATTAAATGTTATAGAGATGCCGCCTACAAAGCTTCTAAATTTCATGATTCTTGACGTCACGAATCAAAAGAAGCGAGGAGGCGAAGGCGGGAGAATCAAACGCCAAAAATAAAAAGGCGCGCGCGCGCAAGAAAGTTTTTTTTTCACGATGCGTTTTTTTTTGCGTGTCTCTGACTGCACCTTGCATCGTTTTAGACAATAAAAAAAATACGACCTTTGGGGTGTCAGTGCCCCTTTAAAAGAATGGCTGTTAGTTATCTAGAGCTTTATCTGAAATCGGAGGAAACTCTCTTCCACCCTCCACAAATGTTAAAACAGTTCAGACAGAACAAAACAATACAACTATTACACGACCTTCCCAACACTGAATCTAATGCCAATGAAGTCGACGCACTTTGGAATCATGACGATTGGCAGTTGAGTCTGCTCTGCGTAAGCACCAAGGTGGCGGCGCTCACAACAATATCGGGGAACAGAGTGTCAATGCTTTAAGCACCTCATGTAGGTTCAGGCCTGAACATTCAGCGGTGTCGGTTCCGCACATCGCTTTCACGACGTGAACAGCAAAGTGATGTTACACGTATTATTATCCGTTCTCTACTCTGACGAAGCTGAAATATTAAGACCTTCCAAAAAAAAAAAGAGGGTGAAGAAAGTCTTCACTAAGTACAAAGGCACTTCGAAGGAAAAAGTCAGTCTTCATGCGACTTGGTGCAGGAACCCTGCCCTCTTCAAGTACACACTACAGTGAACTAGAACTAGTTGAAAAAGCAGCGGTAACATCCCTTCGGCCCTACGAAGCCAAGGGTGCTAAAAGCCGTGCATGGCGCTGGTATCGAGATCCAGACGGGTAGTGCTCCACTCTGTTGCCTCCCTAATATTAAAAAAAAAAGTGAACTGTTGGCACTCGGCAGTGCTCGGGAAAAGAGCGCTAGCATCACCTGGTAGGTTCAACGCAATGTGCCTCTCACAGAGGCTGCCGCCGTTTTCCGCCACTCAATGTGCCTCCTGCGCTGAAGCTTTTACCAAACTGTGGCGCCCTCACTTTGGGTAGTACAAGTATTGTTGCTATAAGGGGAGGTGTGCCGAACAGAACATCGATAGCATGCCACTTGTTCGCGACGCCGATGGCACCGGTACCCTGCGCCTGGTGCCATTGGGCGGCGCACAATGGCACCACGCATAGAATTGCGTCCTGCGTGAGCACGCGTAGTGCGAGACGCTCTCGGGCCCCACGCGCAACATTTGAGACGCTTCACGCCACGCCCCTTCGAGCAAAAATGTACCGGTATTCTGGCTACAGCGCCACTTTTTCGTCATGAAGCGGCGGCACGTGGAACTACCCAAGAATGCGGAGCGCTCGGTGCACGTACCCTTATAGCCATTATAGTACAAGCTCACCTGATTGGGCCTTGCACTACTTGTGGCTCCTACCGCCGAGCTTCGTTTCATTCTGTGTAATACTGAAAAAAAAAAAAAGCCTTTCGACGTCCAAAATTTGCTAGATTACAAGTCGTAAGACAATGAAAAGTGCAAGATTCATGCCACCACCGCTATGGTAGGCGTCTATTATCTCTGGGTTGCTACGTCGATATATGTAACCGCTCCGACGCTTCTTTTTCCCGTATACTTAGGAATGCGTGAAACGGCATCGCTTGGCTCGCACTCTTAGTGTCTTAGCCCTGACCCGTGCTTCGATGGTGTTCAAATTTTTGTTGTTTATTTGCACTTCCCTCGTGATCGCGTTTCGCACCAGAGCAAGCACATGTTTACATGTGCAACCGTTTGAGACACTCAAGCATGTACTACCCAAAAACAAGTCCAGAGTCCTTTTTCACAGTGCACCGTAGGAGGCCAGTGTTCTAGTTCATTTTAGTACGCGCCAACGGCTCAAGAACAACAATTTGTTATTCTCAAACAGAGAACAATTGAGGTGTTCCTTTCTGGCACACCCAAACCGACCCAGGTCGAAATAAAGATCATTTTTATTAAAGAGGATTCCTTTAGAAGAAGAAGAAAATACACCAGTGTCCGATTTCTACTCACCTCCGCCGCTGCAACCGTAACTCACGTTGGACACCCTCGAAATGGAAGTGTTCACGGTCGAGATTCAGAGCATCCTCACCGGTTTAACCTTGAATGCGGCCGTGCTCTTTATGGCCTACTTCGTCGCATCTCATCGCTGCTGCCATGGTCCGGACAGCGCCTTGGCATCCGCCCATGTCGCGACGCTCTCGTATTCCAAGTGCTTCGCCGCCGGAATATTTTTGGGGACGCTGTTCGTCGGATTCATGCCCAAGGCCCGAGCCTCGGTCGAGCTGGCCCTGAAATCCAACCGGATCCACGCTGCGTTCCCGGTTGCCGAAACCCTCGTCTTGATTGGTTTCTGTGCGGCGCTGTGCGTCGAGCAGACACTGTTCCCACCCGGCGAAAGCGAGGAAATGGCAAGGCCAGCTAAAGGTTGCAGTGCAAACCTCCTGCAAGGCAGCGACGTCGATCTCGCGACCCGTTTGCTAGAAAACTCGTCTCCGTCTAGATTAGTAGTCGCGTGCCGCGAGGACGTGGCGAGTTTGCTGTTCAGACCTCGCACACTCCATAGGCTTTCGATGCTTGTTGGGTGCATGGGCGTTCACTTCTTGTTGGAAGGACTTGCACTGGGGCTGCAGGCAAATCTAACGACTACGATTAGGCTGGCGGTCGGAGTGTACGTACACGGGGCGCTTGTGCTGACTGCAGTTGGCCTGAGCTTGGGAGGGAGCAGTTTGCCAGTCTGCACAGTCGCGAAGATGGGGTTGGCACTGGCTTCCGCAGCTCCGTTCGGACAGGTGAGGCACCCAGCCTTCTTTCATGCGGTGGGCCTTTGCGTTTGAGTACTCTCGAAAGCGAAGGGGCCACATTCGTTAATCTACAGTCGTGTTGAAGTCTTGGACGTGACCAGAAATTGAGGCAGCTTATTTATGTGGTTCAATTGCTATCTTCTCACCAAAAAAGAAATGAAAGGAGGGTGTTTGATCACGTAGGAAACACGCTAAAGGCTGGTTCACATATTAGCATTTGAACATGATGGGGTGTGTTGTGCCTGCTCACAAGACGCCGGCACCACCTGTCACTAGCCCTGGGCACACTTGCAATCTGAGTATATAGGCTGTCTGAAATACCCAGGCTTGATCTAAAGTGGGCCGTAAAAATCGGCACCTGCACATAGCAATCTAAACTTCTTGTCAAAGTTGTATTTCACAGGTCGGTTTTATACTGCAAAATTAGAAAGTGTAGCTCCCTTTCTGTAAAAAAATGGGGCCGTAAAAAACTGGCCAGGGTCAACGGCGGCGCGGACGACGGACGTCGAGTAGTGGGGCACGCTTGGCACACATATTCATAGATGACACTACCTCCTTATCGAGACTGCTCGCAACAGACCATGGTTTATTAATATTAACATTCTTTTTGTAATGTATCTTTCGTTTAAAAATGAACGCGGACAATGATAGCTAGACAAAGTAACAAAAATAATACGCAGTTGCATAATGACTGCGCAATTGGTGCTCTTGCTGCCGAAGGATTTCGTCCGAGTGTCTGCTTTCGCTGGTTAGCTACACCTCCCGACGCGGCTACCGATGCCATCCATCATCAATATGTATGTCAAACACACCCCGCCACTCAATTCTGTTGGCTGCGTCACTGCCCACCGTTGACCCTGGCAAGTTTTAATGCGAGAGCATTAACTGGTCCCATGGAGCGAGCAGACGTCATCAGTTTGAAGTGCGAAAACTACACCTAGTTTTCCTAATCCCGAAATTCCCATTGGCTGGAGCGCGGCGACGAGGCTCCCATTGGCCGCTGCGCGCGTCAGTTTCAACGATTGCCGCCAGATGGAGCTATGTGTCCGATAAAACTAACCGCCGCAACCCCACGCCACTACAGCCCCCACGCCGGTTAAAACGGACACGTTGGCGCTCGCTCGGAGGCTTCTGCTCGTCTCACCGCCTACCAACATGCCGTCGCCTCCATTATCCACATCGTCCGGTGCTTCTGTAACAACTCGAAAACATTACTCGTGCCACAAAACTCCGCGGATCACTCTGCGGCGTTCCATTGGACATTCATGCCTTTGCATTCACAACTCGTAAGAAGTGCCTAGGTAGGTGTCTTCCGACTTTTTTGGCCCCATTTTTGACAGAAAGGAAATTATGCTTTGCAATTTTGCATGATAAAACTGACCTGTGAAATACAGCTTTGACGAGAAGCTTAGATTGCTACGTGCAGATGCCGATTTTTACGGCCCATTTTAGATTGAGCCTGGTTACTTCAGATACCCTATATATCCTACTTCTTCTTATGCCTCATTATTTTATGGTGAACTTGAAATATAGCTCAGGCAACGTTACGGGAGACCATTTCTTATAGATGGCATATAGAGTTAAAGGGGCACTGACACCCCAAAGGTCGTATTTATTTTTATTGTCTAAAACGATGCAAGTTGTAGTCATAGACACGCAAAAAAAACCGCATCGCGAAAAAAAATTTTCCCGCGCGCGCGCGCGCCTTTTTATTTTTGGCGTTTGATTTTCCCGCCTCTCGCCTCCTCGCTTCTTTTGATCGGTGACGTCAAAAATCAGGAAATTTAGAAGCTTTGTAGGCGACATCTCTATAACATTTAATTACGGCAATCTTAAAACATGTTTTTTAACGCAATTGCGAACGCACTACGGCCCTTCTTTTTGAAATACCAAAAATCGGGAGTTCGTTGTGGTGCCGTCTCCTGGATTTGTATCCTCCAACGGAAAACAGGCGACACCGCTCAAAACCGGTCCGCCGCAACGCCGGCGCTAGCCGGCGCTCGCTCCTATCCTCCTCGCTTTGGGTCGCCATGGCAACAGCAGGGAGTGGTGACAGGAAAGTGGACTCTCAGGTCTCCCCAATTTTTGACGTCAAGGCACCGGCGCCGATCACGCGGGAACTTCGAATTCGGCATTTGGAAATTGTTTTTTTACTTCACGAATACTGAATTCCCAAATCTCAAATTTTGAGGGTAATGTCCCGGCATCGTTTTCAATCGTTTCGGATAATAAAAAAAAATATGATTTTGATGTGTCAGTGCCCCTTTAAGCTCGCAAATACTGCGAAACCTTTAATCTAGTTATCCGCCAATCCGAAGGGTTAGAGGGCTCCCCGATAGATGGACTCGGTGTGCATTCTCTCGTCGAAAGTGTTTACAGGCGGTTGCAATGCAGCCAATCGCACTCAAACTCAAATGTGTGAGCCAGCCCTAGAAAAACTTGTCGGCATTTACTTCCAAGTTTCTTCATCGCAGTTTTTGCAACCTACTTGCCTGGCTGGAACTACAGGCCCGTTTGCATGGCGCCACTTTCTCACCTTACACTACAGAAGCTTACGTCTGCTTACACCAAGTCGCTGAGACGACCGTGCTTTGTAGGAAGCGTGGCATCCAATTCGAGGAGTAGCTTTGCACGCGACGTACTAAGTACAGACCTTCCGGCGGCTCATAACATAACGTTGGGAAAATGCGAGCAAACGCTTGTGTGTAAATGGGACTTTATCCTCTGTATGTAGCGATTCAAGAGCTCTCATAACATGATGACAGTGTGGATCTTAAAGCCCACTTTAAAAGAGATCTCTCCACCTGCAGATGTTGGGCATGGCATTTGGAACCGATATTGGGCACGTCGGCAAGGCAGTGGTTCATGCGCTCACCACAGGAACCTTCTTCCACGTCCTGTTTGTCGAGATCCTGCCCGTCGAGATGGGCAGCCTCGAAAACAGGCAGCCCAAGGTGACGAGCTTGATTGCAGGCTTTGCCCTTGCGACGGCCACCAGCTTTGCGTCCAATCGGACACTGGTTCGTCGTTTCTTGACATAAACCGCTTGTTTCTGCTTGTTTGTGGAGCGATTTATGCATTCCTTTTTCTTTTTTTTTTGTGACAAATAGAGGTTAAGACTGTGCCAAAAGCTCTGCCTCTAGTGCGAGCTTTCTACCCCAACACTTCATGGTCCCGCGGGCATGCCCAGCGAAAGCATGACGGAAGGCAACAAATGCGTGCCAGAGGCAGAGTGTTTGGTGCATTCTTAAACTAATCCAACTATAATACCTGCTAGAGAAATGGGAATAGGGTCCTCTTTTGCCACTAAGGTCTATTTTCCTCACAAGGGAAAGGGGACAAGGGTCTATTTCTCCTCTCCCAAGAAAACGGGAATAGCATCTTTACTTCACTAGAGAAAACAACTAGTTTCCTCTTTCCCCACTAGGGAAAGGGAACTAGGGTCTCCTTTCTACCACTACAGAAAAGTGAATAACTTACTTTCTCCACTAGGAAAAAGGGAACTAGGGTCTCCTTTCCTCACTACAGAAAGTGGAATGGCATCCCATTTTTCCACTAGAGATAAGCAGGGGTGGAACTCATGAAATGTACTTGGGAGCAGCCACGGGAGCAGCTGAAACAGCTGTTCTGGAGCAGGTTGGGAGCAGCTAAAACAGCTGTTTTGGAGCAGGTTGAAGCAGCTGAAACTACATTTTGGAGCAGGCTAGGAGTAACTCAGATTAGTTTTCATAGCATTCCAGCTTGTATTTTAGACAAGCACAAGAGGAAGCAATTTCAATTGTGCTTAGTAGCACGTATGAACACAAGTGGTTAGGGACCTAGTTAGATGGGATAACATTGTAACGGATGCGAAAACTTGAAACTTTGTGAGCCTTAATGAGAACTAAAAAGCAATAACCATATGCTTCTGAAGATAGCGTCCTTGATATTTTCTGAGCGGCTTTCAGCTGCTCAAAATGCAAACCAGCACTGCTTATCGCAAAACCCACACGTGCTCGACATAGTAATTATACGTGCAAACCACGGACGTGCTTAAGCAACGGACGTGCAGTTGCGCGAAGGAACAGGGCAACAAATTTCAAGTTTATCCTATTGTGCAACTCAATATCGAAGCAGCAGACTATGATTAACAAAGTTATCGTATTCGAAGCGATAAAGAACAAGGTTAAAGTACGCCGAGCAGATCTACCGCTCGCGTGAGAGCTGCTGGCCGGCAAGGTTTCGGATCAGACCGCGTTTCAGTTTTATCAAATCACGATTTATCTTGCGGGAATGCGGGTCCAACTTCTAACGATGAAGTACTAAAAGGAATCTTTCGCTCGTTTGTTTTTAACTGGTTGATGTCCGGATCCCGGGCCGCAGAGCCTCAGGCAATCTGTTGCTAAACGACTCGACCTCATATCGGCCGACTTGCCTAACCATTAATGGTTGAAGAATAACAACCTAGTAGCAGGTGGTGTAGTGCTTGAAATCAGACCTTTGATTTCTTTCGCACGCTTCAAGACTCTGGATACACAGGAGGAATTAAGAGAACAAAGGATTGCAAGGCCGACCAAGCTAAATGAGCTCATTGTTGCCAATTGAGTTGATAGAAACCAAAACCAAGACAAAATACCATTTTTTTTCCGCACGTTTTGCGATTTGGTGCATAATGGCGCCAGGTATCGACTGTGGCGCAGTTTCCGTAACATGGCGCAGACAAATGCGTATGGCGCAAAATGGCACAGCCGTTTCACCCCTGGATAAGGGAACTAGCATCCTCTCTTCCCACTAGGGAAATAGAATAACCTATCTTCTCTACCAAGGACAAGCGAACTTGTATCCTCGTGTCCAATCAATCGACATCCCATATTTACTCGCATAATGAACACTCTTTTCCAAAAAATTTATCCATATTTAGGGGTAAAATACTTTTAACCCCAAAAAGTTGTAAGTTAAAAGAAGTTCATTATGCGGGGGAAAATTTTTGCATTTATACACTTTGTGCAAATGTCATTTTAGGTGCCAAACTTAAAATGGCAGGGTGCTGGGGCACGTCTCCACGGACAGAGGCGCGCCCATGGCTGGTCGTGGGTGCATCACAGTAATCATGCTCTATAAATTGTGAACCTTCTTTAGGGCGCTTTCGGTGGGCCTTTTGCCGAAAAAAAAGCACCCTACGAAGCTCACTCAACATGTACAGCAACGCGACCGTTCTTAGGCCTAACCACTTTCACCCACTGTCCGAAAGCGGACCACAGACGACGGCATGTTTGTTGACATCAATGCATTCGACGGGCGAAGAATGTCCAGGGCTGGCCAATTCGTCGACCCAAGCTTTGTCAAGTGTATGCGCCGCTTGGTTTCACGGTTGATCACTTCCGCAACTACGCACTTGTGGCCGCTTGCAGCCATTATGAGAGTGGCTTGGCTTGGCCAGACCACTTGGCGGCAAAAGAAAATTGACTTGGTGGCTAGCTAAATTGAATGCAATTCGAGACTCGCGGAGCTGAAAATTTGAAGTGCGTTCATTGCGCAAGGGAAAAAAAAAATCTAAATATTGGTACCCGTTTTTGGGGATGCATTCATTATGCAAGTAAATACGGTACCAGTCGTTTCACTGAGTCACAGCTAGGGGCTCAAGGGTTCCAAAAGCAGTAGTCTTCCATGGTGGCCTGATGAGTCAACATAGAAAAAATGACAGATTAACAAACAAAACAAAAAAAAAGGACAATGTCAAGACTGCTGTGAAACATGTTGGGATGTAACGAGAGGAGAGCGTTTTAAGCAGAAACAAACTGTTCATTCGACGCCCTTGAGCGTATGGACGGCCATCTGGAGTGCGCCTTCCCTAGTTTTGTTGCCGCCAATGAAACCGTTGGAATGCACAAACACGCAGCCTTCGATCCCGCTCGCGTCCGACAGTTCTTTATCCCTGAGGCCGCACCATTTTTTGGGCAGGAAGACCCTGGAAACGGGGAGAAGAAGAGGAAGGAAATTTCTTTTGAAAGAAGGTTGACTTGCAAAACCTTTCTCAGCGTGCCAGAAAATCCTTTCCTTTCTCTCTTTGCTTTTGTTAATAGGAGAGAAAAATCAAACACCCATATTTTACGGACTACAGACGTCTAAAAGTCAAAATTTTATGCAGTGCGGAACATACAAGGATCGAGACGTGATGGATTTTTTGCATGACAGACTATGTTAATGATGGTTTCTATATGATATGAGCTCCTTAGTGTGTTGATAAAGCAGATATTTTTGACGGTGTGCTGTATCTGATTATTTTTAAAGCTGCAGCTTAACGGGCGGCGAAACGTTGCAGAGATTTTGAGCTTGTGGACTGTCGTCGCTGCTATGGAGAAACCCTACGGTCCCCTTTTGGTGCGAGGAGAAGCAAATTGGGACTTCCTGTCGGCCGTGCCGCTGGAAGAGAGCAGCCCTGGCGTCCTGCCAAGAATGGCGCGACAAAGGGAGAGTTTTTTTGTCGTCTGCTTCAAACAGTTGCTTTCAAACATTACTCGCGTTACCTGAAATCCCACTTTGGCAGTATCCAGTTGCTATGTGCAACGTTGGATGGTTTTAAAAACTTTCACCGCACTTACTCACTTACTTCACGGATCACCGAGTGCTGGTGACGGTTGTCAGTGGCATCCACAACGTCAATTACAACTACCATAAGAATTAATCATGTCGCAGCTTCGTCCTCAAGTATGCGACGGCACCATTCCACCCGCATTGTGCAACCGTGCTACGGCCATCGCTTTCGTTTCTTTGCACATTGTGGACGAAAAATACGACTTCTTTATGTGCAAAATACATATGCACTACCGGCAGATTATCTAAGAAAATCTTTTTTTTCAACCAAAATTTGCTTCTGCAGATTACACGTGCCGGGTGTGGACTACGGTTCAGATAATACGGTAAACACAGGTAGCCTGATTTTCTGTGCTTCTGCTTTAACAAACCGGCGAGGGAGAATACACTTGCCTGCAGTCGAAGGAGCCCAAACTGGGCGGGACTCCTTGTACCCTCCACGCCTTGTTCTCGTCCTGATAGAGCACAAACTTCACCTCTCCCGGGATGCCCAGTTCTTCCTCCAGCTCCAGCAGGTGGTCCTTCCACGGACAGCAGCCGCTGCTGAATGTCACCACGCTTCCGAGTCCGTCCACCTTTGCGTACCCAACAGAAAAGTGGGACGGTCCGGTCACCACCAGATCGGAGACTGTTTTGTCTCCGACCAGAAAATGCATGCCGGAATCAAAAGCCAGAGTTTGAGTGGCCACAAGGTCCCTTCGACCACTGCCACAAAACTAAGTTTTTGGATCTCTGAGCTTGTGCTCGCCACACCTATGAAATATTGGGCAGAAAAGGTGAGCAGCATGTCTTAAACAGCATGTGACAACTACTATTTTTTTTTTTTTTTATTGCACCGGCTCGCTGAAGTTGTAATCAATTACCGTAAAGTCCCAAGCAAGCGCCCACTAAAAATTTGGAGATGACTGCTTAAAACCGGGGGACGGACGCTTCTTAGTTGTTCAACAACATATAAAGATACATCCTTTCTGTACTTTCCGAACAATAACAAATCAAGGGGTGGGCGCTTGTTGTAAACAGGCGGACGCTCGGTGTTTTACGGTAGTAGTTTTTCCGATGGATGCACAGCAAATAGAAAAGACTAGAAATACATGTCAATGTGTAATGCATGCCGAAATGTATCGCGTGGCAGCAGCACGAGTGGCAACACTCTCTGCGTCTAATTCGGGCACCAAATGAATGTGAAATTCCAGCAGATATGTTTTCGAGGGTGCATCGCTGAGATAAAAAGAGAAAACAACTTTCATGGGCTTTCTCCATGATTTGGGACTCCTTGGGGGGGGGGGGGGGGGGTTTACGTGCCAAACCAACGGCGGGCATCTGGCACGTCTCAGTGGAGGACTGAGGATTAATTTCGACCACCTGGGGATCTTTTGACGTGCAACCGAAAGCTCGGTTACACAGCGTCCTCTCTGCAATATGCCTCCGTCAGATTGCGGGCACCTCGGCCGGGATTCGAACCCGCCACATGGGGATCCGTAAACCGACGCTCTCGCCTCGGAGCCAGCGAGTGGGACTCCTTGGGTACAAAGCTATTGTAAAACCACAATTTCACCTGGAAATGCCCCTCCCCCCCCAAAAAAAAAGAAAACTAGATAAAAATAGGACATGCAAGCAGGGAAAGCGCCTACCTTTTGCCTCTGTTGGATCGCGTTGAAAACCAGGTCACGTGCAGGCATCCATATGGTCGCGTAGCTTCGAACGCGGTCGAGGAATTCTTCCCCAGTCAGTTTCAACGCCTTCTGAAACCTCTCCTGTTCGAATAAAGCGGAGCACCCGATTACACGAAAGACAAAGGAAGCAAGTAGCCACATTATATAGCCGGCCACAAGTTAAGAACTTGGTAGATGCTCCGCCACGGGGACAACCTTTCTGCCTTCGATAACTCTTCGTCGCAAGCGCAGTCAAAGTGCAGCGGAAGGCAACGAGCATGTGTTGGAGGATCCTCAACCTGTCGCTAACTACGGTCTCGAAAGAAGTTTACCACGGTTACTGACAAGTTAAGAAACACAAAGTGTGGCGAGGGCGCATCTCATTATTGCTCCGCAGCCATTCAGATGGCGGCATTGCCGATGAGAAAGCGAAAGAAGAAATCGTCCCCCCCCCAAAGCGAGACACGCTAACGTATTGGGCCACGGCTCGCATTTTTTGAGCTGTCGGTGACCAAAAATAACTTTTCAATACGCTCTGCCCAGTAACGCTGTTGCGCCGCAAACTTACGTCTGGGTTTGGGTTCGGCTCGTTCCACGGAGGGTTCAGATGGGCAACCCTGGCGCTCAGGTTGGTGCAGATGCGATACCTGGTTGTGGGAAAACAAGGGACCACGTTTTCGGCTGCCAGATGATGGAAGACGGACGCAGAACAACGTGCAGTTCGATCACACCGTCTAGCCTGGTGCGGACAATAGAAGCAAGAATCCCCAATACTTGGAAAATGACCCGGTATCGATGACAAAGGAAATGAGACAAAAGGAGTGGTCCCCGAAGGAAGAGACGGCTTCGCGGACAGTTCGTAAGGTGTCTGGTCAACACAAAATGAAGCCGTAGATAAGATTTCGTCCTGCGAAGCTTCAGCTTTTTGTATTCAAGGGCAGCTCCGATTCAGGGTTTCTCGGTTTTTCACGATTTTACTAAAAAAAATTGGCTCGGGGTTTAGTTTTTGGGATTTATCGGTAGGGAGGGCAACATTGTTAGTGCAAACAAGCGATCGCCGGTTTTTTCCGTTTTATTTTTCTTATAAGTAAAAGGCTGTCATCATAACTACTCACCTAACTGGTTAAAATGTAGTGCTTGCCAATATTCTTTCGAAGTAAACTGCCAATAAGTGTTGACGTCTTATTCGCAGCATCGTGAAGTGTACACACCGAAAACGCAGAACCACAAGTTTGAAGCTAGAAATCGTCTGCAAGGAAAAAAAAAGAATGGACCTGGGTTCCTCGTCGAACATCTTGACTCCGTTATCGATGGCGTCAATCTCCTCCATGAAGTTCTCGTAGACTTTGTCGTAGATCTTCTCCACGTTAGGGTCGTCCAGTTTCCAGCCGAGGACACGTGCGATGACCTCGCGGCCAAAGTGGGCGTAGACGAGCCCCGCGCTGCTCAGTTTTGTCGTCCACTTCTTCGACTCGTTCAGGGAGTGCATGGTCTCCAAAAAGGTCCTGCAACAGACGCTTAACTTCAGAGATTTCGTCCTCGCACGACTTTATGCCAAAGTTTTCTTGATTGCTTATTTTTTTTAATTTCATTTATTAACACTGCAGACTCGTTCGGTTCCAAGCAGGAATGTATACATCATAAAAAACAATATTAGGAACAGCAATAAAACAAGGCACAAAAAATAATGCATCGCCTAGAAGTGATCATGTTCATTGGTTAAAAAATATTTTTGCAAAGGGGCACCTCTGAAATCTGAAGTGAATAAGTCCACTTTATCAACAGTAATTGTTGGCCACTTATTCCATGCAATTATTGTCCCAAGAAAAAAGAAGTATCGTTATATATACGACACTTCCTAATCATTTTTTTATAGTTAAAACGAATGTTTGATTGCAACACTGGAGCTATTCTGTAAAGAATGTGGTTTACTTGAGTAAACTGTTATCTATTGCATATAAAAACTTTAATCTCCTTTCTAATGGCGAATTCGGGTGGTCAGTCGCCGGCGAGAACGAGCCGGCGGAACCGGCAACCAGAAAGAAACGCGCCGGCGGCACACTACGTGACCCTCACCACCCGAACACAAAAAGCCAGACGGTGGCAGTTTACTTCGCCTCTTGCCCGCGCGACACCGCTAACGAGAGCCTGTCGCCGCCGTCACTCATGTCCCAACGACTTGGATTGACTTTCGTAGTGGCTGCTAAAGTTACTTCAGATCAGACCAGAACACTATTGCCGGTTTTCCGGCAAAATAAGTTGCCGACGATTGACCACGCGAATTCGCCATAAGTGCGTTTGTATTTAGGAGCTGCTGCATATCACATAGGCGAGCCAAACAAGTGCGGTTACACATGAACAATGAAGTATAGCACAACATATTGCACTTGAGAGAGCGCTTATTCGTGTGGAGTTCCAATCGTTCGTCGCACAAGGGAAAGAAAATAAGAGCACATCACGCTTAAATATCTATTGTTTTATGACCCTCCTTCTACACATATTTTTCTGTTTCTACACCGGGCGTCAAGTCGTTCAATCACAAAATATTGTTAAAAGCCAACCGATCCACCATTAAACCGGGATTGTTTCTACAACCCAAGCATCCCCTTCACTCTTCTGCCGACGAGCCAACGTCACTGCGACGCATCTTCTTCAAAAGTGTGATATTTTTGCCACATCACCCACGCTCCGAGGAGAAACCACCCCATACTGTGAAGATCGCCTGAACTGAGCGTGTGGAATGCACTGTTTTAATCTTCGCTGTTCTCGCAGTATTGCTAGGGCAAGATACAAGAAACAAACAAAAGGATGTGTGAGAGTTTCTTTTTTTCAAATGTGTGCGTACCTTTGATGGTGGTCGAAGCGATTCGTAGCTGGGTCGTAAACCCCGCCAACGTCAACGACAATGTCGCATGTCGACAGGACAGCACTGTCTCGTGATCTGCATTTGACGAAACATAAACGGAGAGGCTGAAACAAGATGCAACCGAGAAGGGAAGGAATCTGTCAGGCTGTTAACTTTTAGAGAGCACAGCTTGATACACGAATCATTATTTTTAACGTTTCTTTTGGGCATATATTTTTTTTCTGTTTGACAGTCTGGAAGCAAAGGTCAAGTTTGATACTTATTCCTTAGTTGCAGTCGGCTGCATTTGTATGGACTTATTTGCAGTGTTTTAGTAGAATTTATATCAAAAGTTCTAAACTGGGTTGCGTTGGTTTGGGGTTAGGCTAATTTTGGTTAGGCTTGCTTAGGTTCGGTCAGGTTAGGTTAGGGTAAGCTAGGCTACTTTATGCTTTTCATTGAATTAAACTCGGGTTTTTCATTGAAACGGGCTTTGCAAGATCATAATTCACCAAAGTTGTTAGGGGTCTCTAACTGACTTTTCTCAACTGTCGAATGGATTTCCAAATGCATTTGAAGTCGCGAAAGAGCCCTCACCTGACGATGTTGGCGTCTTCGTAGGCTGGGAGTTGTTTCAAGAGGAAACACGCCAGCGCTTCATCGCAGTGGAACGTTCCGTTGTGCGTTCCGATCGTTTTGGCAGCTGTAACCTTCTTGGGAGGTGGCTCTCCTGCCATTTTCGTAAATCTCCTAAAAAACGTTTTGACGAGGAACTTTTGAGACGCCGGTACCAACGGCACAGTGCAAGTTCGCGGCCGTCGTAAACTTACGCACAACAAATGGAACTTCTGGCGCCGTAAAAGCTGACAACAGCTGCGGCCTTTCTAATGTTGCGAAATCTCAACAGGCAACCGGGCATATAACTGGTAGTACCACGGGACGATGTTGAAAGGTAATCAAAACTCGCAGCAAAACGATCGTCGCGAAGAAAGCACGTTTTCGGCACGGCGCCACGGGGCCACGGCGCGTTCGACTCAACGCGATCGCTATTTTGATCTTCAAATGACGTCACGCAAGTATCGCCGACAAAATCGCATCATGCGATCCTACATACTGACTGCTATAATACTGCCAACACAAGTCTAAATAAAGTGAAAATCACAAGTTTTTAGCGCATTTTCAATGCCAAATTTTTCATTGAAAAATCCTGTTGTTTTTTACAGCTAGCGAAATGCGTGCATTGGAATCCAAGCCAATCCTGTCTGAAGAATTTTTAGTTCTGCCGTTCTGCTTTCTCCACTGATCTCTATGATCAGTGGCTTTCTCGTACGTTCGTTGTGCAACGCACGTTGAAGGTGGCGGCAGTGGCAGTCTGGCTAGGGTGGCTAGAGAGCCACCATAGTCTGGCAGACGATTCAAGTTTCCAGCAGTTCTCGTCGCATAGGACGCGTAGGAAGTGCCTTCTTCTGGTTTTTCGCGTTCTGACGAAGTTCAAACAACAGCCACACTCGAAGAGGACGATTGTCAGACTCGTAAAACTACATGCGCGAGGTGATAATGTGGCATATCGTTTGCTAATCAATCGTCGTTAGTTTGTTCGTGTTTTTTTTTTCTTTGCAGTTGTTTGCTTAGTTTTTATTTGCCTGCAGAACAATGCTAGGTATAAGGTATTTAGCGCTCTCAAGAAAACTGATCGGTACGAGGTGTCCGACGACGCCGGTAGTGTTCGAGAAGTTGCCGAGAGCTCTCCGTCTAGCCGACGCCGCACAGCAATTTCACACTACCCCGAAGCAGTGCATCAACCCAGTCTTCCTGCTGGTCGCTAAACAGTTGACCAAAGGGCTTGCTGTCCTCAGCGGCAGGTAGGTGTATAGACCACGGGTCCGACTTGCACATCCATCTATTCATTTATCTATCGTGTATTCATTCATTTGTTCGCAATATGATAAATTGACAAAAACGACTTGATACAAGTTTCGCCTGAAGTTTAAATCATGGATCACTTGATGTACATGAAGTGAACTTTCATGCTCATGAAAGTGCGCATTGTCATGCACTTTATGTTAAACACATCACGTGCATAACCATGCGTTTATTTGAAGGAGGAAAAAGATTTAGTGAAATAAGCTCTTCTAACGTTCTCGCACTACTTTATTTTGAGTACCTTTACAACAAATATAACGTGAAAATTATTTATGGTATAAAATATACAAAGCATACTAATCTCCGTGTTATTGAAATCAGCTTCCTTTGCCAGGATGCAGTGGTTATAAGCAGTATTTCATTCCGTAAACATGTTCAGAGGAACTATACATAGTTCTCACATGACGTCACTTCCTCTACTCCCACCCGCTGGCTGCCATTGTCAGGTACTGAGAACCGGACGCGGACACTGCCGCCGCTGCATGTGCGCCACTCGATTGCGACTTCACTACGAAATCTGTCGCCCGTACAGCGCGATGGTGAAAGCCATTCGCCGTGAGTTCTGCCCTTCCTATCTTGAAAAGCTTGTGAGCCCCACATGGTCTCAATACGAGTCTAAAGTGAAGATGTGTGTCGGCGTCGATCCGTACACGCTACGCGTCGGTGTGGATTCCACTCCAGATACGGACTTGCTGCCAGCCACGACGCACGTGTGCATCATTAACTACCTGGTTTTGTTGACAAACTATATGTCGCTACAACAGATGAAGGCCTTCAAGGCCCTGGATGCCCATAACTATGGGTGAAGAGCCTGACAGCGATGCGTCTCCCATCGAAGCGTATCATCGTGCTGAGCGAGGCGAGTTGGCAGGCAATAAAACAAGTGTCTTTATGAGCCGAAGGTTTGCCTGCTAACAAAGAGATTTTGCCCGTACTTGCTGCATCAGAATTAGCAGCATATTAGCTGGGTAAACTTGGCGCCGTCGCCGCAACGCCATCGACACAAGTGTGCTACAAAAACTACACAATTACAGAAATGCTGCGAGAAGGTTAAAAGCAAATTCCTGCAGCGGGACGCTACCAAACACCACACACTGCCTTGGCCGCTATGGCAATGCGCACAGGGTGCGAACAGAAGCATTCAGCAATCCACGTTCAGTTGAGCAACATAATTCTTACCGGTAGTGAAGTGGCGACCAAAGACACGGATGTTGTTTAGGTATTAAGATACTTCCAATGTATGCGAGCAAGCCAGAGGCTTCAGCGTTCCTTGGACAGCAGCTTTGTATGCTCACACTGTCGCGTTATCACCTTTGGCGAACGGTGCTTCCCTACACTTCGCTCTGTTTTACTCTGTTGTGAAGACGACTTGCTTCTGCTTCGGCAGCCGAACATCCTGACTGCACCTCTGCGACCACGACCATACACCAGAAGAAAGAAACATGCACTGTGTGTGCCGCAAACACCGTAGCGACACAGCCAACGCAACAGCGACCAACGTTGCCGGCACCACTCCCAAAACCAAAACTATGTCAGTGCTTGGTAATAACAATGACATATCCCATAAGCCCCGGCATATCCCATAAGCCCCGGCTGTGACGTCCGTGAGAACTATGTATTGGTGGCAGTCTGTTAGCGCATCACAGCTTGCATACTTGTGTACCATTGTGCGGTTAGGTTATGTAATCACTAGTGCATGAGCCTCGTTAATGGCCCAAATGTTCTGGGGTTATCTTTAAAGGTGAACCACTCTGTATATATTACCTCCTTTTTGCAGGGGCTTCAGGAAATGGTGGCGCAACCTGCCACCAAACAAGAGAGCATACTTCATAGACGCCGCTGTTCGGAACAGGTGGAAAATTGCAGGTACTAAATTTTCATGACAGCATTTTTTTTTTGCCATTGTGCAACATGCATTGAATTTCCACACTAGAAGTAACAGGTGCATGTACTTCCATAAACTTTGAAGTAGAGCTTTTGTCAGTTTTACTAACGATATCTTAGTGAAGTACCTATTCAACAAGTTTGCCGATCCCAATGCCCACTTTCTTATTTTTGGCAACTGCTAAATTGAAAGCGTTCTTCTAAGGTTTGCAGCTTTCTAGATTTCATCATACTTTCTTGGAGGAGCTTGTTTTTTCAAGGTTTTGACTGAACAAGGCTCAGGATAAAACTTAGGTATGCTGCAAATGCAGAGTGCACACTAAATATTTTGTTTCATATTCTAGGTTCTCTGCTGAAAGTAGATTTAAAATAGAGTATTAGTGCTTTCTGTCTTTGCTCTGCTCAGTGGAGCTCACATGTGCTCTATGTAGTGAGTCCTGTGGCACTCGGAAAGACGAGCCTGAAGTGCACATCACGTTGAATGATGTCAGCAATGGGAAGTAGTGACAACTGGCAGATGCAACATCATGGAACACAAATTTTGTGCTTCCAGAGGAATTTGTACGAGTGGATTTGACCCATCATTGATTTGACTTTTGTCCTGGGATTAGCTGGCTCTCGCGTGATTTTAGTCCGGAATTTCGTCAACCCGTAACCCTAGTTAGAAATGGATGCAGGTGTTTCCAGAGAAGGGGGGGGGCTCAACATATCAAATGTTTAAGAACCCCCCCCCCCCCTCCCCCTTTTTCCCCCGCCCTAGAATTTTGTAAATGTGGAATTCAAAGCATGGTCAGGAGGTGTTTCCAGACGTGGGGGGGGGGGGGGGGGGGGGGTCAGCGTATTAGATGTTTGAGAACTCCCCCCCCTTTTCTTCCCTTGCCCTAATATTTTACTCAAGCAAAAAAATCAAAGCTCCCCCCCCCCCTTCCTGCTCTTAATCCGCCACTTATTCTAGGGCTTTTTGTCTGGCCTTCCACAATTCATTGCAATTGCATATACTTGCATCGAGAAGCTAAACTTTGTGCTGTATCATATTGTTTTGATGAGCGATGGACCTCTCATGATTTTTATTTTAGCTTTGGAATTCCGTCGTGTTGCAGTGTTCCGGCGAATGACGGACTCTCCGCGGTTTCTATTTCAGCTTCAGCCGGTGCCGTGTCGGCGCTGGGAGGGGTGTACTATGTGTCCCACATTCAGGAGACGCCCATCACGAAGAGGAGGCGCTTTGTCGCCTTCACTCCGGAACAGTTCCAGAAGGTCTCGGACTTCGAGTTTGAAGTCGTGCGTAACTTTTTTTTTTTCCTAAGTGATTTCCTAAGCGTGATTCTCTTTTTTACATTCCCAAAGGGCAGTTCACACGCTTGTGACTGCTTACGACCGTGCTCTTTAAAACCTCTTAAAATCTCTTACGACGAAAAGGACACATGGCGCCAATTGGTGGTGGCTGTGGCATTTCCGTATATATTTCCGTTTCTTTTCTTCGGGCATCCTTCTTTCTTTTTGGGTTGGAAAAATTTCGACAACATCGTGGGCGACTAGTTCTCGCTTCGTCTCGCAGGTACCGCAGCTCCTTGGCTCCGGTGAAGTGCAGTTTCAAAACCACCACGTAGATGGTGCCGGCGTGCCAGAGTGTCTTGTGTTGTTGTAAGAGGTTGCAGGAACTCAATCCTAAAGAAATGCTAGTGTGTGAATGGGTTTTAAGTGCCATTTAAAAGTCTATTAAATCTTTTTTATGTAAACTTTTGAAAAAAAAAAAAAATCTGGCACACTTGTTGTTTGTGGCCGCTTTCGTTTTGGGAACGCTTCTGAAACTTGTATTGTTATTTCGAAACTGAATCAATCATCCACCCCGACATCGGGCCTGTGTTGAGACGAAAACAATTTGGCTTCAAACTGAAACGAAGTGAGCAAAGAGTGTGAGTGATGTCGGTCCCTCCGCTGGCTCTGAAAGTGAAGCCAGCTGCGATAACGCTGCTCATTTTCGGTTTAAAGCCACATACAAGGTAACATACCTCACCCCGTAGCTCCCACTACGAATTCTTTTATCAAAATTTCGTGGCACGGTTGGACCGCATTGAAGTTGGGTGCCAGTCCTCCCTGAAGAATAACATTACTCCCTCAAGAATAAAAATATAAAAATTGGGTCAAAACTTTTTACTTACAATTAGCTAACTAATCAAATAATTTTCGCGGCTTTTCTGGTGGCCACTGCGGCCACCAACTCGGCCCCGAGGCTAGAAAAACCCTTTCGCAAGTTCCCCTTTAATAATAAGAAATGGAGATATAGACCAACTTAAAAAAATACATTTTGTATGAATTTCATTTTGAAGCAATACGAGCTGTTCAAGAACCACCTGGTGCCTTCGGTGCACCCCATGTACGCACGCGTCGTGCGGGTGGCCAATCAGCTACTGCGAGGGAACGAGGACATTGACACGATCCACAGGCTGACGTGGTCGGTGTCGGTCATCGACAATCCGATGCAGAATGCCTTCGTGCTTCCGGTGAGTAATTTTTTTTTTTGTTTCGTCTTTTGCATTTTGCTTTTTGAACGAATGTCGTAAAGTTGCGAACTTGTGGATGGCTAAGTAAGGCATGCACTCCGAAGACTGGTTCGCACACTTACGTTAGAGCGCAATCAACTGCGTAGAGACTGCCTACGATCGCTTACGACGAGAGAGGACGCTGGAGCCATCTTTTGGGCGGTCTTGGAGCTCTTTTCATCGTTCTTTCATCGTGGACTGTGCAGGTTTGATCTCTCAGATGCTGCAGAACCTTCAGTCCAGCTATAGGCAGATAGGAAGAGTTCCAGGGATACCCGATAGCGCTAGTGTGTCGGTGTTTTCTCTCGTTGGAAGTTTCAAGGTAGCAAATTAGCCCCAGGCGAAAACCAGTCCACCTCCAGCTGGATCATGGAACTGGAAATGAGGCAGTCCAGCTGGATTCTGGCTGGACCCGGCTGGACCCAGCTGGACCATGCTGGAATCCAGCTGGACTGCCTCATTTCCAGTTCCATAATCCAGCTGGAAGTGGACTGGTTTTCGCCTGGGGTATCAATGCAGGCTCACAATAAGGTTACTCTAAATTAGGTGCGCTACAGTCAGTGACAGGCCAAGAGTCCAAAGAAGCTCCTCCCCCCTCATTCTATTTCCACAGAGCGAAGGCTGGAGAAGAGGTTGCCTCTTCTACAGCGTTCAATCTGCTAAAATGGAAAGAGGAACTTTCCCAAAACCAACTATAGTTTCCTCGGTTTTAATCGAAGAACGCATCCGCCGGTGATAAGAACCGGAAATTGGGTAAGGAAACAACCTGTGCGGTAATCCTGAGTGGCGCCAATCGTTTATCTCTGCCTCATTGGTCGCTGGGATTCTTACGTAAATGGCTGTGGTTGGCTCTGTACACTATCTGCTGTAAAGTTGATTCACATGCCTCATTAATAAAAAGCTCGCCCTGCCTACAAACTAATATGCCCTCCCTGAGAACCGGATAAAACTTTTCTTTTTGGACCCGAGCAAAAAAACTGTTACGGACATTTGCCAGATTCACCACTGTTATCATAGCAAAATCTACCGTAATATCCTGAGAGATAGCCCACCTAAAATCGAAAGCAGATCGGCTGTTGGTGCCCAATGAAGAAAGTTGAAAAAATGCTAGTTTTAGATTTTGTGACCTGCGAAACTTATGATCACAGGGAGGGGCGATGAACCAATAATGACTTTTTCCCAGTCAGCAATGTTCGCTTATCTCCGCACCGTGGCTAAGTAACACCCTGCAATTACTAGAAGTGGGCTATCTTTCAGTGTTTTTGAAAAAATAGCAAATCACGCCAAAAATTGGGGGCGAGTTATCTTTCGGGGGTGGGGCATCTTCCGGGACATTACGGTAGGTTAATGAAACATTAACAGACTTAAAGACTTGTCTCTATATGCAGCCACAGCCGAGCAGACGGTATCAATCTTTTTAAGGCCAAAGTTTTCCAGTGTTGGTTTCTATCTGATCCAGCGCTGTTGGCTAAAGCATGAAGCTGTTGGTGTTGGGTGAGGGTTCAAAGCATGCGATTGGAGATGTGAATTGCCTACAGATGAGCGAGATAACAGTGTTGTGCTAACGGCTTTTCTTAGGATCAATGCAGGCTGAACATTCTGAGCCGTTTGTGAATTTGTTTGCAGTGCGGGCAGATCTTCGTCTTTTCGGGCATGCTGCAACTCTGCAGCAATGACGAGCAGCTGGGGGCCGTCCTGGCGCACGAAATGGCCCACTGCGTCCTCGGCCACGGGGTGAGAACTCTCGGTTCGGCCGATGGGAGACTACAAGTCAACTGTTTCTGAATTTGTAGTTTTTAACTCAGAATGTGTTATATATGACTGGCTCCTAGCAGTTCCCTGTAACACGAGGGCATCGTACAAAATTCACTGCTATGTATAAAAATATGCCGGACAAAGTGCGAGAGCGCTCGGCTCGGAGCCGAGATCTCTCCTGTTGTGAATCCGACGGCAAACGAATTGCACCAACGATTCGTGCAAGGAGAGAGAGTTTGACATCTCGCACGGCAGTGAACACCCTTGCACATATGGTGGGAGAGCCTGCAGGAGGCCAGTGGGAAAAAACGATCACATACTTTGTATGGAAGGGACAGACGCAAAATAACTGGGTGAGAGTTGGGAGGCGCGCGACCACAGAAGGCGCAAATTTTCTGTTCTACTCCCGCCGGAGCACGAGCTCTGGGAAGGCTTTTTTTCTTTCAGAGACGCCATGCGCAACGATAGTCGTGCTGCCGGAGCACAAAATTCGTACCAAATCCGTGCAACACACAATACATTCTGCATCACCTCTGCCTTTGCTACGATAGTGCATGAAAACAATGAATTGCCGCTAACAAAGATGTTCGGAGGACGTATTGCTTTTGCACACGGTTGTGTTTGCGGGATTCCCGGTTGGCAAAATAACCGTTGTTAATTTTATTTTGGTTTCTAAACAGGCAGAACAAGTGAGTTACGTCCACCTGGTGGACATGGTGATCATCGTGTTCCTGGCGGCGATATGGGCAGTTATGCCGACGGACGGCATCGCCGCGGTCACCCACTGGTTCTTCAACAAGGTCGTCAGCGTAAGCGAGCTCCACGATCCACGATGCATGTGGCGCATTGTCGGTTCTGCGGTGGTACACTTCCGATCCACATATATTTCCTAATCTTTTCGCTCATCACCTTTTGTCGTTTGCTTTAACCTTTTGGGGTCATCTGTCGGTTGTCTCCCGACAAATAAATATTCCCGTTCTGGACTACCATAAAATCCTGTAAGGACGCCCACCTAAAATGAAGAGATAAATGTTGAAAAACATGGGGTGGGCTATCTTTGAGGATGCCACAGCAAAACTTTATCAAAAATTAATGATAAAGCGCCGGGGCACCCGCTACAAACCACATGACGCGGGAACTGATACCGCAGATCGTGGACACTGCAGATTCGCGTCTCACGATGCGATAAACGCACGGGTATTTGCTACAAACTCCTGTGTCACGGGAGAGGATACCGCAAGTGGCCGACGCAGCAGATTCGCGTTTCACGGTGGGAAGGACTCGCGGAAACCCGGTGAGAACTCGCATCTCACGGGAACGGATACTGCATTTCGTGGACGCAGCTGATTCAAGTTTTATGGTGCAATAAAGACGCTGGAACCCGCTAAAATCTTGCCTGTTACGGAAACTGCTATCGCACGCGCAGATCGCAGACGAAAACGCAGGAATCCGCTACGAACTCGGGAACGGATACCACGAACCCCAACCGCAGCAGATTCGCATTTCATGATGCAATATACACGCGGGAGCAACTAGCGTGTTACGTGAGCCGATATCGCGCGCAGATCGCAGGTCTGCGTGCGATATCGGCGCGGGAACTCGCTATGAATTCGCTCCTCGGACACACCGGTACCGCCAATCGCGCCATTGATGCACGATTCACGTCGGACATCGCTTGACTTCCAACGGGAATCGCGGGGGTGGGCGACGTTTCGGAATTTTTGTTACAGATATTTAGCCAGAAAAACGTAATGGGCGATCTCTCGGGGGAGGGCGCCCTTGCGGGATTTTATGATATTGTTGGGGCTCCACCAACGGGCCCATTTCTCTTTTGCGGTCGAGTGTCGGGTGCCTTCCGATAATTTCAACTTGCGCCATCTCTTGTCGGGTGTGTAAACTGTGCATACTTAGTTTTTTGTCCCTCCAACAAGTGCCGTAAAAAGCACAGCACATTTGTTTTCTTCTTTTTTTTTCTTTTTGCTGGATGCACGGGCAGGCATTTTGCACATGCTTTTGGGTGTTCAAGATGGCAGCCTTTACTTCGTCCGCATTTTATGGACTGTGCAATCTGCAGTTACAGGAAAGTCAAAGGGCAGAGACGTGAAATTGTTTTCTACTGTAAAATCTGCACTCGACACCCTGGCTTGCACCCCGGCATTTGTTTTGAAAATATCTTACGCTGCACAAATACCACTAGTATAGTTCAGTAATGCAAATGAAAACATTCAGGGCAATGCAGTTATTTCAAACTGAACATATTGATTGTATAGTATATTAAATAGTTGAATTTTGAGGTTGATCATTCATTTGACCTTTTTTGCTTAAACTAATTCTGACTGGGGGAAAACTCAGATGACCCCAAAAGGTGAAGTAATCCTGAGTGTCTTAAGCAACCATTTGTCATAAATTTGAACTCGCAGACACTGCAAAAACTTCGGTCTAGTTACATGCAATATAGAAGCATTTCCAGGGCTACCCATAGGTAGCACTAGTGTGTGCTCTCATCATCATCACCACCACCACCCGTGATCATAATCACCACAGTCGTCATCATCATCATTGTAAGCGATCACAAGCGGTCATAGCGCAGTCGATCACTCTGAAATACAAATGCGCAAACCAGCCTTTAGCAAACCGTATGTTGCTCAGCTAACTAAGTTCCTGGGGTCGACTCCTGATACGTCTGTAATTTTATTTATTTAATTTTTATTCATTACATTAACCTTAGGACGTTGTTCCGACGTTGTGAAAATACCTCTTGCTTATCGACTTCTCTTTTAATTATAGTATCTGTTTCTTTGTTTTTTTAACACTATCCTCCATGATGCACGTCGCTGCTGTGGTGAAGCTTGCTTTGCAGAAGAGATTCAAGCGTGATATTTCTGGAGTAAATAGCATGTTAATCTTAGCCTAAGCTACGTTACATAAATTTGGATTTTTGAAACTAAGTAGTACCGTATTTTCTTCACTCTAAGTTGCTCTTCCGTATATTGAGTCGCTTTCACAGAAAAGTTAGTTTATAAGTCGCACCTCTTTGCACGGTTCATGCGATGAGTTTTTTTCGGTTTATGCGCATCAGTATCGTGAAATTGGAGTTTCACACAATTGGCTAGTTCACACATACCGTTCGATGCGCAACGAGTTTGACGGTGCGACTCGCGAGAAATTTCCTTAGCGTAGCGCTGTCTGGTGAGGGCAATCGTGTATTTCGCAGGAAAATGAGAATGTAGTTGGCTTCTTTCAAGTATACATGTGCCGAGCGAATGGAAGTTCAACGTGCCAGACACTCGTGAATCAAGCTTTGGATCATTAGGCCTAGCCTAGGCCAAGTCGCGGAGATGACACAAGCATCAACACGCAGACAGATTAATAAATCTTGACGTGCTTCTTTCGGTACCGTTAAAAAATCGGCTAGCCACGATCCTTACTTTTACATGTAGCAACATGACTGGGGCATGGTAGGTAAAAACTGCTCTTCAAACAGAAACTAAGATAGACATGAGAAAATTTTCTGTAATGCGTGTGTGCCAGCCCAGTTTCCTTTTAGTGTTACTGGACTGAAGCAAAAGAATACGGAACCATGGATGAATTAGGCAATGTTGATCATAAGTTGTAAAAGTTTTATTCTCACTGGGCCTTACCTATTCACATTGAGCAGCTTTGCGGAAACTAAAATTTCTCGCTTTCTGAGCCGCTTATGAAAAGTGTAGAAAAGTGCAGTGACAGCAGTGCCTCCTGGAAGGGGCAACACTACCTATGGCTACGTAATTACTGTGCTCTACAAAAGATTGCGTCTCACCGTGAATTATAAAAAATCGGGGGAGCATATCGAGGAACTTTAAAAAATATGACGTCTCACCGTGAATTATAAAAAAAAGGCACATAAGTCGCATCACTGTAAAAGTCACACCAAGAAAAATGTGTGAAAAAAGCCACGACTTACACACCAGAAAATATGGTGTTCATTTTTCGCTCAGTGAGGTTTAATTTTTTATCACACTTTATTTTCTTGTCCGGTCATCAATTTTACATATAAATGTACTGTGCGTATTTTCTCAGATCTTACAAGTTCGGGAATGGGCGCTTAATGTGGAATGGGCGGGTGGACAATATTCTACGGTATGTAACTATATTTTGTGGGACCTGCTACCACCGATTGCAGTGGTAGCAACTGGACACCACTGTGCGCTGAATAATGCTCAGCGGTGTCCAGTTCTTCTTTTGTCCTTGTTTCCGAGTGCTGTTTCGTGTATTCTCAAAATTCAGCACCAGCTCGCCCACAATCGGCACTTTTTACTGAATACCAGTAGCAATTGACTATGAAACAAGATGGTTTCATTATCAGAGTGTATACAAGGCGTAAGCGATTCTCGCTTACGCCCTGTATACCAGAAGTTACGTCTATAAAAGGGGGTGTGTCCGTCGCAGCAGGTTTCTGAGCAAAACGCCTTTCCTGAACGGAATGTAAGGGTGCAAAGAAGCTGGTGACGGTTGAACTCGACAAACTAAAAGCCCCGAGACTGGAAAGAATGAGCGACGACATGGCACAGAAGTCTCAAGTTCTTTGTTGCATTGTCCTTCCTTCTCTCTCGTCTCGGGGCTTTAATCCATCAAATCTTAACAGCTTTATAAAAATTGGTTCTTTTTTTTCCTAGCTATTGCTGAAGCTTCCATACAGCCGAAAGTTGGAGCTGGAAGCCGATGAAGTTGGCCTTCAACTTGCTGCTAAAGTAAGTATAGAACGACGTAATTTCTAGAAATTGGATGGGGGGTATCCATGAGCAACTTACTGCCTCCATGTCGGATGCTGCCTGTAAGGCATTTCACACCACTCCCTTACTTAGTAAGGTCAACTGCAATTTGCAATGACTCACTTTTTCGTTGTGTGATTTTTCTGCCTATGTAGCAGTAAGCCAGTCACAAATGGTTAGAAGCGAAGTAAAAAAAATCACCCCCCAAAAAATAGTTACTTTCTAGAGTTGCTGCTTGTGTCACTATTCATTTATTTATTTATTTATACCATAAACTACCGCAGAAGCGCCCACTTTGTTCAAGCGTCCACTATTAACATTTCCCAAACTTATACTTGAAGCACCCGATTTGACCAGACAAAACCTACGTCTAGATTAACCCAGTTTTCAGAGCAGTCCCTCGGTATTGTACGGAATAGAGGGCGTCTTTTTTAAGCTTCACGGATTTGTTTCAACAAAGCCGTGAAAGCTACACTTACGCGGTTTGTGCAGGTGAGTTATGCAACAACGGGACATAGTATGGGGGCTAATCGTAATGATCAGTCGTCTAAATAAGTCTAATCATAACGATTAGTCGACTAATTAAGTCAGATGTTTTAATTAGTGAAAATAGACATACGGTTCCAATTAGAGACTTGCTGAGCGTCATCGGAAACCATCAAATCAGCTCTTTCTAGAAATATATAAGGCAGGGGCAGTACTTTACGGCATTCTGTAAAAACGCTCAATTTCGACGCGTTTCCAGGTTTCAGTTTCCTTTTGGAGCGCATCTCTGCCTGCTGTTATGCTCCCCAGTGGCCCTGGCGCGCAACATGCGTGCGCCATACTTCCTTCTATCAAACGAGGGAGGCGAGGCGGCGGCTTCGTGCCGTGATCATTGGGGAGCAGGACTGCGGGTGCCAAAATGCGCTCTGAGAAGAAACCGAAACCTAGAAGCTCGTCCAAACTGGAGCGTTTCTTCAGAGCACCATAAAATGCTGCCCCTGCTTTATATCTCTCTAAAAGGAATTGATTTAGTGGTTTTTGATGATGCTCAGCAAGTTTCTAATTAGAGCCATAAGTCTTTTTTCACTAATTAAAAACTTAATTAACAAATTATACCATAGTTAATTAGCCGACTGATTGTTACGACTAGCCCCATATTTTATGACCCACTGGCTGTATAACTGGCCTGCACAAACCACATAAGTGTAGCTTTGACGGCACTTTTTAAACAAATCTGTTAAGCTCAAAACAAAATGCCCTGTATTTATATATTGTACCTACCCAGAGCCATGGGCCTATAATGGGAGCACACGAAAAAGTATTCAGAACACAATGCTGCAAAAACATATAACAACAGTGTAATGCTCCTTTTGAACGACAAGAGGTCATCATTGAAAATGTCGACAAGCAAAATGTCGAGGTGAATAAAGAAGTTCTGATTACAAACTAGTAGCTGGGACAAACAATACGTGGGGTTAACGGCGAACGTGCGATTGCAGCGGAAAGGTCTTGCAGGAACGTTAGTCTGGACATAAGATACAATATTTGAACAGTCAAAACACACATGCTAGCACTTGAAAAAAAAATATTAGGTCACGACTTTCTTGTCTAAATTTTAACTCTGTCAAGTCCCCAAAAATTAGGTACATTCTGATATAGGAGTAGGGCTGAGACAAGTTCTGTCTAGCGCGAAACGTTCTCGCATATCTCTTTCGAACTCGTTCTAACTTCGCCGCAGCAGCGGCACCGAGGTTGTTCAAAACAACTGATGCACAATCTGGTTTTGGCAGATTAAGGCCTCTAAACAAGTCACAAAAACGAAATAGGTCACGAAGCGCACAACTGAGGCTAGTGACAATGCTTAATACCCCAAAACACGATTATTACAGCAAGCCCATAGATTTGCCTGTTTCTCAACGCCCTCAGCGTAAAAGTCTCTTTATGTTGGCTCAGTCGTAGTCATACCCTGTTTTCAAACATCCAGCATCCTCGAAAGAAATTCTGGAGTCAGATTATGTGAGAAGTACACCTCGCTGCAAATTAAAAAAAAGGGGATCGGTGGCCGAGTGGGCTAGAGTTCACCAGCTCGGAGCATGTGGAACAAAAGGTTGCGCTGCAGAACCCAGGGATCCTGGGTTCAATCCTCTCCCCCACCTGTTTCGATTTGGATGAGCATCGTGCCGGCGTGCGGTCATGTATCACTACTGCGTGGTGAGACCCCAGGCTAGTGGTTTGTTCTGCACTAACTAAATTTCTCACCTTCAGCTGGGAGACAAGTCGCCCATTGAGGCAGACTAAGTTCTAGGCTGTATAAACATACACGTAACACGACTACAATTATTTAAGTGGGGAAACTGCTTTATTGTTGCGCACTGCTTCAGTTGATATGACGTCGTAAATAAGGCACCCAAAACAGCCGCGTACACAAATGAGCCATTTCGAATGCTCCTTTTACGCAATTTGTACGAGGAAAAGAAGAAGTAAAATCGACTACATATGCAGGCCTGCTTTGACGTCCGGGAAGCTAGTGCCTTCTGGAGCAAGATGAGCCTTGTGCAGAGCCAAGAAGAAAATGTGGAGTTCCTTTCGACGCATCCCAGCCATGATCGGCGGTCGGAACATCTCGACAACCTCATGAACAGTGTAAGGTTCCTTCTCTCGCCATTTCCCCGAGACTTCAGTAACGGTGGCCATATTTTCCGGTCTATGAGTTGCACCCTCATACAAAGGGCTGCTTTACAATAAAGTTGGTACATAAGTTAAACTTTTCTGTGCGATTGGCACGGCGCAAGTGCATCAATAAGTTTGCATACGCGTATTGTGATTGCGACATATGCTCAAGTGGGGGCCAGTTTTAGTATTCTGACATACGAATAGAACTCTTGTTGTAAATATAGACACAACCTACATCTTGCACCGTCGAGGTCCGTGCTTGTAACAAACAGGGCCGTACCCAGAAAAAAATTTCGGGGGGGGTTTTGGGGGACAACGGCGGCCATTTTGAAAGTGTCTATTGTCTTATTTTCGCCTATGAATCATGTGCATCGGTGGTATATAATGGAGAGTTGCAGCAAACCGGAGAACCGGTCCCTGTTTGGTATGTGTAGCCGACCGGCGCCACTGCGCGTGCGCAGAGGTGGAGATTAAAATCGGCTGGCTGCAAGTGCACCGACCAGGGCCGTACCCAGAAAAAAATTTCGGGGGGGGTCAGAACCCCCTATCCCCCCCCCTGGTTACGGCCCTGGACTAACAAATGTATGCGAATAATTTACGCCGGCGTATGAGACACAGCTACGGGAACTGGGAAAAGCGTGGCTTATATGCCGGAAAATATGTTAATTTGTTTGCGCACAAACGTGTCGAGGGTCCAGCGGCGGTGGCTGTGGAGGCTGGTCAGTGTGCGTCTGTCCTGAAGCGATACCACCTTCATTGATTGTGCGCCGTCCCAATCTTTCTGCGAATACAAAAAATTCGTTTCGCATTTTTGTGGCGGTCGCTGCAACAAATTTTGCACCGTCGTGTTTCTAGTGTGGTGGGACTCTGCCTTGCAGACTGTCCCTCCTTTTGCTGCGGTGCCATTGTTGGGCAGTCGCAACTGTAACGCAGTTGTTGCCAGATGCATCTTCTCTTTAATGCCGAGCAGAGAAATATTGTGGCTAATTTTGAGCCGCTTTTCGGATGCGACAGCTTGATGAGGTTACGACAGCCTAATCCGGCACCTCAGTTGGATGTAGCACCTTGATTACGGTAGTCATTTTTGTGACCTTGCAAGGTGCATACCCCGGATCTATAGATTGGAGATCTTTTTGCCCTGACACAGTTGTTTGGTCCCTTTGTGTGCCACCCTCTCGAAACGAAATATGCGAGTGTTAAAAGAACTACGACTTTTTCAAAGCAACGACTACATAAATCCTACCAAATGAAATGACTCGCCGAGTCACCGTGGCATGTCTTAGGTCGCAACAACGTTTATAAAATAGACCTCAGCGTCGACCCTCCAAATTAACGAGCATTATAAACTGTCTAAGTTTAGAGAACCAGATATGCTGGTGTTTGTGAACGATGCCTGTGGAGCATGTAAAGAATCAACTGCTCTGATCTTTGGAAGGAGCCAGCCGTTCCTCCGTGCTCTCCCCTCAATGTAATTCCACACTGTGTCCGTGTTCCAGGCGATCGAACTGAGGCAGCAGTGCCGCTGCCCAGCGCTGCCCCACAAGGACCCCAGGGTTTTGCTGTCTGTGCTCAAGCAAGAGCTTGAGGCAAGGAGGAGAGACCCGGGCTACAGGAAGGGCGTCGTCGTACTGCAGCGTCCCCGCTAGGTCTGCACGGTGCCTCTTTCAGGTTTGTTTCTCAATATTTTCTTGTGCCTTTGTTTTTTTAAATCAAAATCACAGTTTTTTTGGATTCATATTTTCTTCTCAATGTAGTCTGTCTAATAAGAAAAAAGAAATGTGTGCTTTTTATCTTTACGATAAAGCTAAGGTAAACAAAATGTGATGTAAAAATGATTTTTTATTTGAGATGCTTCCATTTTTGTGTCAAGCCAGCCTAAATTTAGTGGGAAGACCTGAATTGGCATAGAATTGCACACCAATTCAATTTCCCCAATAATTCAGTGGGAAAACGCTTTTTCACTAAATTTAGTTAGCGATTAAAAAGGTTCGAGGTACATCTAAGCACTTCTTGTGAGCTGTGAAATGTGAAAGCTCGCACGCTGCTCTTCGCTCCCTTCTTTAATTTGCGGCGTACAACACGCTGACCTTGGGCGTGGAACGGTGGAGCCGCTGCCTTGCGGACACGCAGTGCCATCGGGTGAACGATCGTTCAAACTGTTGTGTGCCTTGCGGCGTGAGGAAGGAACAGACAGCGACGTAGTTCCCAGCAGAACGAACCCCTTGGTTTATTTCATGCGCCCTATATATTGCCACGTGTCATACAACCGATAAGAGGTGACCGAACGTGGTGATCAGTGATAACACAACAGTGTGATAACACAGTCAGGATGACACCACATTAAACTTACGCGCAGCGGCCAATGAGAGCCTCATCGACGCGCACCAGCCAATGGGACCGAAGTGTAAAAGGCACCGTTGGCTAGCTTTGCGCGTGGTTTCATTAAGGTGCCGTTTTCCATGGTTTCAAAGCTTATGACGTCAGCTCGCTCCATGAGACAATTAATGCTTTCGCATTAAAAGGATTAGGATGGCCAAGCTGTCGCAGTAAGAGATGCTCGTAGCAGCGGTACCTGGAATGCGTCTCGATCCATGCGGCCTGTCCAGCTTGCCTGCGTTTTGCCGAGTAATCTTTTGTCCGGCGACATCACTAGTGTGCATTTCATCGGTTCATTGAGACGTTGATGGGGTTGTTTGGAACCCCCAACACCTTTGAAGGTGGTGATGGCAGAGCACGGCATCTTTCACGTTTGCTGTGGCTGTCCTACCAGTCGGCCAGTTCCCAGGAGCTTTGCCAGCTACGAGCTTGGCCACAGCGACGCCAGGAACATATGTGCTCGTTCGTTGGCCTAGAATCAACAACTGGAATTGTGATTATTTGGATTTTTTTCTCAAGGGCCGACGTGTTGCCATTTGTTACCTTTTTTTTTTTCAACACTTCAGTGTGTGCAAGGTACTAAGGATATCGAGCACATCAGTTGGAGACATTTTCCTGGCACTTTGCTTGTAGCAGACAGCTGTCTCTTGTTCTTAGCTCTGGTTGCTGTGTTCACCTGCTTGTAGTAAACAGACCTACATTCGCCTGCCCAAAGCTAGGAAACTATGTCAGAAGGGGCTTGTGATAATGTTACTGTCATGTCTCAGTAATATGAACTTGTTACCACGGGCACCCTGTTATGCAGACACAATTTTTGGAGACAGACGTTATTCTGGACAATTTTCTTTTTGTGCATGTGTGTGGGGGGGGTAGATGTGTTTATATTAAGGAGACATCACTGTACTAGTTTGTTTTGAGGTGGTTGTTGTTAGAACTGGGCTTCTCTTTAGTGTCACATTTTAAGGTGGTTGTTGTTATAACTGGGCTTCTTTTTAGTGTCACATGGGGACTCCTATTTGTTCCATTCTGGCGCATCATGTCAAACATTGTTCTTAAGCATACATCTTTTTTTTCTTTTTTTTTTTACAGTGTCTACAAGTGACCTGGCTGGCTGTTAAATAATGTACGAAGGGTCCGTTACGGCAGCGAATTGTGATCTTTTGGCGGTGCTGCGACACTTAGGACCTACAACTTTTCTGTGATGGATAGTATGAAGTTTAACTCTGGTGTAGTTTTATGTCCCGTTTTTAGTGCGAGCTCACACGTATGGCTGCAGCATGCGGTGTCCAGGTGTGAACATTTGTACTGGTGACTTTGGATAGCCTTGAATGAAGGGCTGAATGAAAACCCTAAGTGGTAAAGAAAGTTGTCGTAGTGCTTTACATTTATTTTTGGCAGATTTTTACGAATGAAATGGAATGCTTTTTTTAACTTAACTATTGATGTTGACAGTAAAAGTACAGAGATATTTGCATTGTGTGAACTGTTTTCTATATTACGCATTTGTGAGCGTGATGTACACTTCGTGCATATGTCCACACACACAATTCAGCTACTGAATATTCTAGTGTTCTTTCTGGCTACATGACCGTGGTCGTACAATTTCGGTGTTTATTTGGCAATTCGCAGGTTTATTTGCTCTGTCCACATAGCACCAACACTCTTGGGAGACTTACCGTAAAATACCGGGCAAGCGCCCACACAAAATTTTGAGTTAATCATGAAAAAATGGGGGATGGGCACTTGTCCGGTCATAAATTCTACATATAAATGTACTGTGCATATTTTCTCAGATCTTACAAATTTGGGTATGGGCGCTTAATGTGGTATGGGCGGATGCACGGTATTCTACGGTAGGTAGTTTCCCATTGATATTTTTACATTAAAACACTAAAGATTTACAAGTTCAATGTTAAATCATGTCGGGTTTATCCTACGTTAGTAGGTTTTAGCCATGATGTAAACTAACGTCCTAAAACATATCTTGATAAAAATGACGCCCGGAAAGTAATTTCACGTGTTAGATCTCTAGCCAGAGCCTCTACTAAATAGTTCTGAGTGGGGATTCTTGATGGTGAATTCATTTAGCTGGGATGTAGCATCACTCCTGAATAATCATTTTAGTGCATGTAGCACGACACTGGCTGCTATAAAAATTACTAGGACGGAAAGCTTTAATTCAAGGCAGTAACTACAGGGTTTCAGCGACCGGGAAAACCGGGAATTATCGAGGAAATTCTAATTACCGGGAAAAATCAGGGAATTGTCAGGCAAATTGTCAAAAAGAGAGCCCAGTAAGGGAAAATGAGCCGGAAACGCAATCGAGTGCCCTGAGCAAAGACTTGAGAACTTGGGGTTATAGAAATTGGCAATAAATTCTGCTTAGAGCGGATCACGGGCTCTGCTTACCCGATGTAGAGTGTGCTACGGTGCTACCCGATAGAAAGGGAACAGCCGAGAAATCCAGTCCAAGCCTTGGATTGGATTGAGGGCGCGACATTAGGCTAGGTCCAGTTTAGGGGTGTCGCGAACCGGCCGAGGTTCGAGTTCGACCAGGTTCGACTTTTTCGAACCTTTAGTAAAAAATTCGACGAACCTTGTATTGAGGTTCGACTCGTGTGCGCATGCGCGACAGGCTGGACAGTTGGCTTTGGATTGGATGGTGATGGCTAAGGGGAGAATTAAGGGCAGCGCTGATTGGTTATTTCAGTTAATGCAGTACAAAAAGATTAAGTTATTAACTTTTTCACTGATTAGAATTGGTTTCTTTTATTTTCAACTGTTCATAAAATAAAATAACCCTTTGCATAAAAAAAAAATTCTCCAAACCTAGACATGCTTGTATCAAGGTCTGGCCACAGTGTCCAGAAAGTCGAACCGGTCGAATCTGGGGAAAAGTTCGAAGGTTCGTCGAACCGATTCGACCCAGTCGAACCCCGAAAGTTCGACCTAAAAATCTGGTTCGACAAAAGTTCGCGACACCCCTAGTCCAGTTAGAGCTACCAGATTTAGTAGCAAATTGGAAAGCTGCAGACCCCAATCCAATCCAAGCCTTAAGCCGAAAGTATCCGAAAGTGTTCGTCATCTGGCGGCCATGCCCACTGATCTCTATTGTAGTAGGCTGGATCGCGGACCGCGGCCTCGGCAGCTGGGGCCACTGATCTCAATGACAATTGCTGGATCGCGCTTCCCCACTTGTTCACTGCAGCGCAAGTGAAGCCACCGGATGGCAACCTTTCTGTGATACGATTTGCGGTTTTGCTAGACTTGCTGCGGTTTTCCAGCGGGCTGTAGACACATTTTCTACTCGTTCGTTGTCATTTACCGAAGAAGTTTTTTAAGACTCTGTGCACCGTTGAGGCTAGTCGTTGTGAACATGTAGAAAATTTTACGAAAGCGCTGTACCGCAGGAAGAAGTCACAACTCGTCGAAAGCAAGTTTCGCCGGTCTGGCGGAGTGTTCAAAGCTTCCTTGACACGCCTAAGCGCTGTGTCTCTGTGCCTTCGCACGCTTGGATACCGACCAAGAATCGACACCGTGTGAATGTGTTTTGCGAGTGCAATGTTAAGCCGTATGTGCCTCTGGATCAGCGTTTTACTTTACTCTGACGACTGTATACTTGCGGCACTCGCGGTCCCGAAACTAGCTTATTCCAGCGTCCACTAGCGATGGAAGAGGAGGGAAGCCACATCTTTTTTTGTCCTTAGACGATTTACAGAACATTGCACAAAACTGCTCCTCATCACTGATCAGTGCTGGCTCATTATCAACCTACTTAATTGCTCTTGACGTTTGAGCGTGGTAATTGTGATTGGTCAACAGACTGCACACGATCGTATGGGCTGTGCTTCAAAGATTTTCATTCTCGCCGTCTTGTACTTTTGCCTTCGAAAACCCTCCTTGCTCCACAGCTTTGCTCTATTCGTGCTCCCATGTGATCCAATGGAGTAGCTTTGGAACATAGCCATGGTTAATAGTACATAAGAACACATACAGATCCCCCCCCCCCCTTTTATTGATAACTCACCGGAACAGCTGGACGATGCAGAACTCCGTGGCCTATATTTATATATATAAATGATCTAAAGGCATCTACGCGCGACTCACGTTCAGAACTTTGGTGCGGCGTCGATTCTTGATCGGTATCCAAGCGTGCGAAGGCACAATGCTGCAGCACTCGGCGTGCTGAGGAAGCTTTGATCATGCTGCGAGACCGGCGACACTTGCTTTCGACGAGTTGTACCTTTAGATACGTACGGCTTCACGCACATTGCACTCGCAAAACACGTCCACATGGCGTCGATTCTTGGTTGGTATCAAGCGTGCGAAGGCACAGAGACACGGTACTTCGGCGTGTCAAGGAAGTTTTAAACACGCCGCCAGACCGGCGAAACTTGCTTTCGACGAGTTGAGCCTTTTTCCTGCAACACTGCGCTTTCGTAAAATTTTCCACGTGTTCACAACGGCAAGCCTCAACGGTACACAGAGTCTTAAGAAACTTCTTCGGCGAATGACGACAAACGAGTAGAAAAAGTTTTTACAGCACGCTGGAAAACCGCAGCAAAACGCTGGCAAAACCGCAAATCGTATCCCGACGCTGGACGCGGGTAGGTTTTCGAACGCGAAGGTAAAAAACCCTTACCCCGGAGTAATATTCAGTAAATTTTGGATCGCGCCCAAGGATAAGAGGGCACGGCAGAACAGATGGATAGCATTGGCAGGTGGCGTGGGACGTCAAGTCTGACGAGCCAATAGGACGAGCACCGAGGCAACAGGAGACACCTCCTAGAAGAGAAGGCCGGAGTGCTCTTCTCGTGACGTCGCAAAGGAAGGCCATCGGGGGCGCGCGTCGAAGCGAAGGCAACACGTCCGGATCGACCGTCGTAACGCGCTTTTACTCGCATACGCGTGTCTTATTACTTAAAATGATAGCTGCGCATGGCAACGGGGCTAAAAAACATTTTATTAGACGGACAAAATCTTACACCTCTAAATAATCGGTAATCAAAGAAAAATGTGACTCTTTTAAAGGGGCCCTGCAATGACTTTTTGACTGGTTTTTAATTTGCACTGAACCTGAGCGTACTGAACGTAGTAACTTAATCCAACTTTTCTTTTCTCAAATTTCGCTTTATTTTAAAAGTTATAGGCAAATTAGAATTACAAAAACAAGCAAAAAATAACCTCCTTCATGACGTCGTAGGTCCTGCCTTGAGTGGCCTTGAACTAGAGGAGGAGTAGTGAGCTCATCGAGCGCACACGGCTGCCGCACTCCGTGTCGACGGCTCGAGAGGGCGCCACTAAAGCACGTGTTGGATAGGCTGCATGAAGCGGGCGGCCAAAGCAGCTCATATTGCATTTGCAGTGCGACTAAACACAAATTCGGCATAACATTTCATGGGCCACAAACGACAGCAAACACGGGGTGAAGATCAGTTGAGAACAAGAGCCACTTTGCGCTGCCGCACCGCCAAATTGCCAAATCGCCAACAGGGCCCGCGCCGAAGGCCTTCGGGACGCTCGGAACCGGTCGGATTCTTGAGCCGGTATACGACCACAGCGCCGCCGCGTACATCCGGGACCTTTCTACGCTCCTCGTTTGTCGTAGCCTCATCCCACTAGCCTTTTCTAGTATGCGCCGTTTTTTTCCGCCGCTTGGTGGCGGGTATGTCGACGGGTCATTTCTCGTTTCCGTACTTTCTAAACTGCATTCGTTTCTTTTCTGATCTAAAATAGTGAACAAGAACTACTTTCATACATAATTGAAACGGTTCGCGACACTTATATTTTGTATCTCGACTAAAAAAAAGCTCTTAACGGCTTTGACCAGTGGCAAGCCCAGGACCAAAGACGTCACATTTTGCGCGCTTTCGGTACCGCAGGTCGCCCTGGTCGGTGGAGGAGGTTTCCGCGTCGTCCGGTTAAAATATGACTCATTGATATTTAGTTACTCCCTCCGTGCCCGCTGGCTTGCCCCAACCCCAAGAGACGTAGAAACCGCAAAAAAGGTAGACGCTTAAATATGATTGCAGGGCCCCTTTAAGTCGAAAACATTGAGTCACGCCATTACTGCTGTAGTAATGCATATTTTATACAGAAATAGTTCGACAAAATGGCAGGAAAGGCACTGATTGGACACAGCAAAACAGATCAGTTTAAAATTAGGTAGACGTCCAAACGGACACGGCTAGACAAGTGTCACGGCCATGTAAGCGATGTTATCGCGTACAGTCACCGAATTCTTGCATGATACCCCGGTTACATGTCAAAATGAATGTAATCTCGATTGAATGACATTATGGGGTCGACAAATCAGCTTACGATGCTCGTTTAATCACTCAAAACCGCGAGCTGATTAAATTCTGTATCATTTAATGAAAATATATTAACTTTGCCGTGTGGCAGAGGTACTAAACTTACTATTTACAGTCAACTAATTTACTTCTTCGTGTCTCGAGCTGCCTGAGAACAAAATATAACTTATTTTGTATACAGTAACACTATTAATTTAATACAGTTAAGATTCTAGTATAAACGCGGTAAAGGCAATAAAATAACATTAGTATAAATAAACACGTAAGCACAAACAACGCGCTTTCAATAATCGCACAAACTTGTTATTCACCTTCCAGTGAAAACTAGATTACCACGCAAGTGAGCACGGATAACGACGAACAAAATACAATTCTATCACAAACTTAAAAAAAACAAAACAAAAAAAAAAAAAAACGATTGCAGCATTTTACTCGCGTCCCATGACCAGAAAGCCCGTAAATAAGTTGGTTCTCACCTGTTCATCGTATTCATAAGTCCCGCAACATTAGTCTCGAAAACATTTTAACACGAACTCCAAGAAGTCTCTCTCTTTGTCGAGAGAGAGGTCTATCGATAATTGACCAGTGTCATTGCTGACTAGTTGCCACACGTCACTCAAACCGTAGCAGGACTTGTTCCGCAAATCCACGTAAATGCCGTAATATCAAGAAAGAAAGAAAAAAAAAAAAAAAAAGAAAAAAGAAAAATACCCGAGTTTGCAGTCACAGAAATACGACGGGAAGAAGGAAACAAATCTCGAAAGAACCACACACGAGAGCAGCGGTGACGAAAGGCTTAACGTTGTCGACCCATCTCTTGTACGTGTGCGCTCCCTGCGGCAATGACTGGATTTGTTTCGGTTCCCTTCCCTTCTATAATGTCTCAGCTTTCCTTTTCAGACAGTCAGCAGCTCACACACAACGTAAATTTACCAGTATTGAAGCCCGTATGAGGGAAGAAAATGTGGCACCAGGCCGGTTCATTCGAAAAGTCTGAGGAGCTGCGGGACTGCACGTAGTCCCACGCTTACGGGGATAACCATCAATATAAATTTAGTACTTTGAACCTTGGTAACGCGTTGTATATTACGTTTTTATTATATATATATATATATATATATATATATATATATATATATATATATATATATATATATATATATAATAAATTTTACAAGACTACGCTTTTAAAACGTGTATTAATGTCGGATATACGCGCATGAACACCTCCGCGCCGCTCGACAAGAAAAATGTTTTTCACGCGTCGATACCAGATATTCTCTCACGTAGTTGCGCCATGGCCTTCCTTCTCCGACATTGTGACGTAACCACTCGGAGCGCTACGGCCTTCTTTTTTTTTTGGAGGTGTTGACTGAGGTCACCGAAATGCGGAGGAAGCGAGGAGGAAAATCGTGATGTTGGCTCGGTGGTGTTCAAACAGACGTCACATTGTCGGACTGCAACCGCTTCAACTTGCACTATTTTCCGAATTTCTGAAATGTCCTGTTTCGACAGGCCTTTAGGAGGATGCCGTCGTCTGTACTACACCCGATGCCGACAGCGCGCACTTTCGAGAAATATTCCAAGAAGCCGTCGGTAACAAAATGGCGCCGTAGCACTGTCTAGGGGCCAAGGCTTCGTGCCAAGAGACGCGCCTTCTCGCGCTCCGGAACAAAAAAGAAACAAAAGCACCGCCGGGAACAAAATGGCCAGATGTCATCACCCTAAGCGAAACACACACGAAGGCAGCCTAGACGGGGCACGCCGCGAAGCGACAGACTCGTGCAAGCTGGCGTCACCGGGTGCTGGCATTGTGCTCGTTGTAGACGCTGCAAGATCACCGCGCGGCGGCACGGGCGCAAGCTAGAAGCGGCACAATAGGGCGTTGACAAATGTACGTGCAAAGATCCTTTTATTTTCGATGTTTCCTTCGATCACATCCCATCACTACAACCAGGTGAATTTCCGTGTGCCGTTGACAGTGGTCCATACTGATGTCTGGACCGTCTGTGTATAACTCCCACTCCTGCCATAGCCCCACTCGGGCTGCAGTATGTATAAATAAAATAAATAAAAATAAAACAGTTGCTGGTGCAGACGTCAGGACGTGCAGCGCGTGAAACTACACTCGCTGCACTCTCCTTGCTGGTCTTGAAGGTAAACGTTCGGCAGCCCTCCGCCTGGTTAGGGATAGACATTAAGCGAAAAAGAAAAACAATAACCAAAAATTTTAATAAACATTTACCCGACGTTTCGGGACCAGTTCGGTCCCTTGTTCACGGGCGAGTGACGGAAAGAACCTAGAGGCTTTAACCAAAAATTTTAATAAGCATTTACCCGACGTTTTGGGACCAGTTCGGTCCCTTGTTCACGGGCGAGTGACGGAAAGAACCTAGAGGCTTTAACCAAAAATTTTAATAAACATTTACCCGACGTTTTGGGACCAGTTCGGTCCCTTGTTCACGGGCGAGTGACGGAAAGAACCTAGAGGCTTTAACCAAAAATTTTAATAAGCATTTACCCGACGTTTTGGGACCAGTTCGGTCCCTTGTTCACGGGCGAGTGACGGAAAGAACCTAGAGGCTTTAACCAAAAATTTTAATAAGCATTTACCCGACGTTTTGGGACCAGTTCGGTCCCTTGTTCACGGGCGAGTGACGGAAAGAACCTAGAGGCTTTAACCAAAAATTTTAATAAACATTTACCCGACGTTTTGGGACCAGTTCGGTCCCTTGTTCACGGGCGAGTGACGGAAAGAACCTAGAGGCTTTAACCAAAAATTTTAATAAGCATTTACCCAACGTTTTGGGACCAGTTCTGTCCCTTGTTCACGGGTGAGTGACTCCAACGTGAACAAGGAACCGAAGTGGTCCCAAGACGTGGGGTAAATTTTTATTAAAATTTTTGGTTAGAGTCTTTGTTAAAAGACTCTAACCAAATGCAGCGTTGAGGGCTCTTCTCCCTACGCAGTGGTGTGCTGCGGAAAAGCTACACCCGCGGAGTAGACATTTCGATTCTGAGCACGTCGTTGCAATGCCGCGCAACCTCGTGCAAAAAAAAAAAAAAAAAAAAAAAAAAGAAAAAAAAATTAATGCGGGATGAGGTATACGCCCACGACGGGCATGTAAAAAGAAAGGAAAATATATATGAACACATTTTAATGAATTGTGATGTGGCGACTCTCTACCTTACAGTAAACTTTGTAAAATAAAACCGCGGTTAGTATTAAAACTGCCCCCCCCCTGTATTTTTTAAATTTAAATTAGAGATTTTGGGAGGGCACATAAGTAACTTGGGTATAGCTGCAAGCCGTATACTTTCCGGTGTTTATGTAAAAAATCTACGGATGTTTTTCGGTGTTTATTTATTTCCTAAATACCGGTGCATGTCGGTGAATCGGCTTTCATCGACAGAAAAGAAATCGCAAACAGAAACAAAAAATGAAGACGGGGAACGGTTCAACTTTGATTTACATCTGATACGCATTGTTCTTCACACTTCTTTATTGTAATATATGCAGGCATACATTCCAAGGCTCGCACCTGTCCTTCCCGCCCGCTCCTTCCTGTCGACGACGCGCAATTTCGAGAAAGCAGGCTTTACATTTGCGCTATGGACACGGGAAGTCTCGAAATGCCCAAAGAGGCTTGGGAGAGTATACTGGCCAGTTTGGTGAATGCAGCTTCCAAAACAGCACAGGGCCAACAACGGCACTGACCATCGTACTGGCGCTAATGGAGGAACTCAGCTTCCAGATCGCTGAGCTGACATTCATCGTGCACGACAAGCTTGTAGATGCTTTCAGAGGGAACATATCCAACTGGCAGCTTCATCTTGACGCAAGCATTAACTAGCTGCACCCGAGACCAGAACGAGTCATCCGTAAACTGCAGGTCATCAGAGATATCAGCATAGGGAGACCGTTGCTGACAACCAACCCTAAACAACAACCGTAAAAAAATAAGAAAAAAAGGGAAAAAGAACGAGTTTGACGGAAGTCTACACAAAAGTTCTAAAAAAGAAAAAAAGAACTGCCGCGTGTATGAGGATATTTAAAAACCAATATTTTTTTCGTTTTTAACCGATCTTTTTTTTATTTTCGACACCGGTGGATGTTTATTGGTGTTTTTTTCGGTTAAAACCAGAAAGTATATTCGGCTTAGATATAGGGAAGAGCACGCCATGACGTGCAGGTCGAGATTGTACCACACAACCAGCCGCACTAAAGATCAAAAGCAAAAACACCCGCAATACCAACTCCCCATCCTTGCCCACAAGCTCCATTTGAACCATCATCAGCAGTTTTCTTTCACCTGTGAGGTATCATTGAATCATCGTTATAGACGCGGCGCCGCGGATCTTCTGAGCTACAATAATAATATCGTATATCACATTCCAAAAGCGAAAAAAGGAAGGATGTCGATATATCAATAGTGGAAGTAGAGTGATCTGTGATGGAAACGAATTTGTTCTTTGAAGCCCAGCAAAAAAGGGCTATATATTGATAGGCGGCATTTTGCAGTCGTAGAAGATTTAGTACTGTTTATCCAACGTCCATCTGCCGTTCGGGAACAAAGCTTTGCCATTCAACGAAGCTCAACTCCGCATCAAACGCAAACAAGTCATCTTCCAGATAAGGCACGCCACAGTTTGCTTTCGCATCGACTTCGGCCCACCGTGCGTACCGCAACATCCGTTTTCTTTTCTTCTTTATGAAAAAGAACCAAGGTAACGTCTATTCAGAATCGAAAGTTCGAGTTCACAGAGTAGCGCGCTTGCTGCTAGCTTAGGCCTAGCGGCACGCCGGAATGGTACCATGACAACGCCCTACAGCGAATCCGGCTGGTGCAAGGTGACCAGCAGGACCAAGATGCGTTCACCGGTTTCCACAAGACTAACGCGCTCCAAGACCATCCGCGGGTCTCCTAGTACGAACATGACGGTACTTGCGGCTCCTCTCAGCGTAAGCAACCGATTCGACCAACTCATCTCGACCATACCCGATTCCGAACCTACCGAATGCGAATGTCCACCGATAGATGCATCGAAGACAGATTCCGAGCCGCCGTCGACGAGCGCGACCATTTTAGATTGTCCGTCCTCGTCGCCCGCTTTAAAGCCTTCGGTGATACCAGATGGTGACTTACCTGCTTCCGACATGGAAGGTGAGGAGGGCTTATTTCAATCCTGCCGTTCTCGGAAACGACGCCGGGATCGTCAGAACTCGGACACCTGCAGCTCTGGTTCCGAGTCTAGCCCGGAAGACACGAACACTACGTCTGAGCGAGCGCCTACTGGAAAAGTCGTGCTTATCGTGCCAAAAAATGGCTGCGTTTCAGTGAAGTCCTTCAACGCCGTCAAGCTGTCCAAAGAACTGGACGCCCTGTGTCCGGGCGGCGTCTTGAAGGTCCGTCCGAACTATCGGGAGAACATTCTCGCAGTCGACTTCAAGACTTCCACCAGCGCCGCGTCGCTGCTTCGCATCAGCAGTATCTGCGGCGTGCCCGTCGAAACGTACGAACCGCGCTCTTCGGCCATGATCATGGGCGTCATCTACGGCGTTCCAGACACCGTAACGGACGCGGAGCTGCAAGCGGCCTTGCGTTCGGACGCGCCTTTGGTCCGTATCCGCAGACCACCTGGCTCGAACATCGTTATCCTCACGTTCGAATCCCCGTCACTGCCCGAACGGGTGTTTGTAGGCCACGTCGAGTGCAAGGTACGCGCCTACGTCAAGAGACCGACTCAGTGCAAGACGTGCGGGCGTCTCGGACATGTCTCCGGAGCCTGCGTCGCTCGCGACACCTGTCTGCGTTGCGGCGCCAACCACGGGGGTGGGGCCTGCACCGCCCAGAAGCCGTGCTGCATCAACTGTGGTAATGAGCACGTCTCGACGTCCAAGTTATGTCCCTTGTGGAGGGAGCGCTTCGAAGTGGCCAAGTATAGACAGACGCACAACGTCGACTTCAAGACGGCCAGGGCTGCCGTCCTCAAGTCACGTGTCATTGATGGAAAGCTGGCCCGACAGACCCCGGTCCCTCCACCTTGTAAGTCGCAGACCTGGAGTGTCCGGGCTCCAGCGTCGTCATACTTGCACGAGCCAAAGCACCATCTGAAAGAACCCGACGGCATGTGCTCCAACGTTGCGGCACCGCCCAACGATAACATGGAGATATTTCGTCCGCTAGCGTCCCTGGCAGCCTATCAGCGCCGCAGGCCTAATAGCCTCAACTCCCAGCCCGCTTCAGAAGCCAGGGCCGTACCGAAGACGGGTGGCGACGATTCTCACGTCACCGGGAATACATGGAACAGGTGCGTAAAATATTTAACTAAAAGCGACGTTATTTTTTTTTCTTTACTGTCACTTTGCAAAAAGAAACACTGAAAGAGTACTGATGTGTATCTTTTAGGATACAAAACGGTATACACTCAAACCAGTGTTGTTCGGTTACTGTTTGTCGGTCGCTCAAGTGGGACTAGGGATTTAGGAAATACGTCGGCTGTCCTAATGGCCGGTCCAAAAACCAAACCCGATGTCGGGTTGCAGGCCCGGAACCTCAAAGTCTGCGACTTCCGCTACCCGTTTCGGGATAACAGGGAGTTTTCATAGATGGTTTCCGCTGTCCCGCAACGTTCTCCGCGACCCGCTACGAGATTTGGGACTCTGCAGGTAAGGCTCGTGCATGCGCAGTAGTGGCGTCTTCGTTGCGGAGAGCGTAACGGAAGTGGGAAAACGGTCTACGAAAACTCCCTAATAGGGACTTACAGCAAACCGTTACCGTGTTCCGTGTACTACACTACCAGAGCCATTGAAGCATGCTTTTGAGCGCTAGCCCGGCGGTCATGGTATCGCTCGGGCCAGCGCTTAAAAGCACGTTTCAAAGGCTGCGGTAGTGCGGTACGCGGAACACTGTAGCGGTTTGCTGAAAGTTACTTTTTTACAGACGCGTTTGGGCGGTTCGGAGAGGTAGCTGCATTGGGGAGGTGGTTACGTAGCTCTTACTCGGGGCTTTCGAGCACTTGTGGCGTGACCTTGACCGCGTCGATAGCGTGGTGAGGTGGAATGCCGCCCGACTGTTACGAGCCGCGGAAAGTTCAAATATATAACTGGGAACGCGGCTAGCGCGGTAGCCGGAAAACATCACCTGTGACGTCACAGAATTCGCATGAAGTTTGCGGTTTCCGGTACCCGCAAACCGGTTTGGTTTGAACCTTGGCGGTCCAAACCATCCCGCAAAACGGGACCCGGGACGTCCGAAGGCCGTTGTGGATGGAAAGTGTGCGGTTGTGTGTGGACGACGCAGCCGGCCAACACCACGTAGGTGGTGCTGAGCCAGCGCTTCGGCGACGGGCGGAAGGGGAGGACCCGGAGGAGGGGGGACGTTTGAGCAGGAAAGAGAAAAACGCACATTAGTAGCCACGGGTGGGAGGGGGAGAAAAAGCCCCCTTTGTAAGTTTTTTTCGGGACGTCGAGGGGGGGAATACATAAAAAAGCAACTGTTTCTTAAGCCTCCCGTTGTCCTTTCGTAAAGTTCCCGAGAAGCCAGCCTTACCCACCCTTGATTGGCTGTTGAAAAATCCGGCCTCGTTCGGTTCTCAAAAAGTTCAACACCTTGAACTTTCTGCCCATCTACCGGAACCCGGGAAATGTAGCCGTTGATGTCACTTCCAACTCCCGGACATTCTCGCTCGATGGTTTTGCGGGTTGATTTGGACCGCGTTTAAGACTTTCTCAGTACTCGAGGGCACGTACAAGAACTCTTCTGAGAACCGTAAACAAGGGCCATTTTAACCGACCGCAGGTCGCGAAATTCCTCAACTCCCAGCCGTGCTCCTGCGACCTCCTGGAGAAGTCAGCCGGAGGTACCGGCGCCGAACCCTCTGTGGACGGACATGATATTTTCAGCGACCAAGTCTCTTCGTGCCCTCCTGGCACAGTCCTCGCTGCCCATGAGCCAGGCCATCTGCGAACTCCTCAACACCGTTGAAACGGCTCTGCAGAAACTTTGCCGTTAGTATTAGATAATTTGCCAACAAGAAATATCCGTACGCACATACCAGGTATAAGCAGAACAGACACAGAATCTTCGTGCACTCCGGAATGGCTGATATAAAAAAATGGACAGAACGTTTCTTTAACCGCTGACATCGAGAAAAGAACAAGAAAGGCGAGTGTGTGGACTCAAAGAATCTTCGAAGAGTGAAATCGGGGGAAACAGAGAATCTGGCAAGAAAAGGATGTCTTTTGGCTTCTGTGAAATAATTTGGTCCGTAATATAGCTTCCATTTTATTATGAAGGGTAACCGAAGGTATCGTAATTGTCTCATTATTGTGACAGTCGACAAACACTTTTTTTTCTTTTACGCTTAGTGTGGCCGATTTTCCATAAACAAATAAAACACATATGTGAGTATATACAATGCCCCGTAAGGGTGCTGTTTTTGTTTGTTGGCGGACAAAGTCAGGTGTTTCCTGCACTGGTGGGGCTGGGTTATAGTAGTTCTTGATCTGGTCTATAGCTTTTATCTTATCTTCCTGCTGTGGACAAAGATATACCAGCTCCCCTACCAAATAAAACCACCATTTGTATGTTCATGGTTTGTGTTTACTGGACCCGCGTGCATATTTGAACACCAAAGTGGACTTTTATGACTGAAAAAAAGCAAAATACAGTTAAAAGAATTAAACTACAGTTATTACTAATAAAAAAACAAAAAGTCCGGTCCTCATATAAAACGGCTTTCGGTTACGGCGACCGGAGTTTTCGTAGATCGTTTCCTCTGTCCGCGCGCAGCGTTTTCCGCAACGTACCGCTACTAGATGCGGGCGCTCAGGAGAGGAAAAAAGGTCCACGAAAACTCCCTATTGGAGAGTTTTAGGGAACCGTTATTGCGCGTCCGATACGAACTGCGCACGTTCTACCACAGAAGACTTGCGCATGCGCAGTTTGTACTGGAGGTCCCATCGTATCGGACGTGCAGAAACGGCTCCCTGAAACGCTCTATTAAGTCCGACCGCAGCCAACGCCACGATCAATGTAGCCAATCAAGGAGCGCTACAAAAAATGCATCGTCATGGCGCTGGTCGTCTTGGCACTTTTGCTACATCACCGGTGGAACCGATCGTGCGCAGTGAATCCGTCGTAATCTTGCGCTTCTTTTTTGCGTGATTGGTTTCGCCTGATAACGCACAAAGACGACGAGTACTATGACGATGCAGTTTTAGTGCTGCGTTCGGACTTAATCTAGTAAACGGAGGATAGTGTTCGAGTTGGCGATGTTTCCCGACTTGGAGGCCTTGTGGACTGCGCGCGGTTTTGTGAATCGAACGGCTATTTTTAGGCGCCACCGCGATGCAGTCGAACCACCAATAATATGGTCGTCCTTTGATGTGTTCGACCAATAAGAAGAGAAATATGTAACCGTGACTGCACACCCGTTGGGGTGCGACATCGCTCGCCTTTTTCATTGACTCGACTAAAAATAACGACAATGGCTAAGTGTCCAGTCAATAGGGAGTTTTAGCGAATCGGTTCAACAGGAACGGTTCGTCCTCGAACGCATCGGCGACGCCACTGCGCATTCGCGCGCGAGTCGTTGGCTTAAGGGCTTCGGGAGGCTCTTTTCGTTCGTTTCTCCCATCTCCGGCCGCTGGAGTCGTCACCGGAACGCAGCCAGCACCGTTCACGACTCGGGTAAAAAAAAGATGGCGGTCGGCTTGTCCGCCGACCCATACCTAGCGTTAGGCTTAGGACAGCGGGAGGCGATTTGCCATCCTGTTGCCCTGCTTCATTTCAGAGGCTGAACCGAATCATCTCGAGGACTGCTCACAATGGTAAGCGATCGTTAATGCTGTAAACTACGCATCTTAGTAATTTTTAGCGACTGACTAACTGTGTCTGCCGTTAGTCAGCCTGTCGGCAGGCTGCACTGCCGCGGAGACCGCGAGCAGACGAAATGATTTGGTTCGACGGCACACAACGTGAACGATCGTTCAAGTTCAAGGTGACGGAGACACATCACCCACCTTTGTGGTTGTTCAAACACTTTTTACTTTATCTAGCTTCGCAGGTCTTGAAATTCCGACCGTTGAATTTTACGTCGGTCGTCTTGTTTACATCAGTCGTAGCACCGGATACACTGGCCACGGAATTGCACGCCGCAGGATGTTTCATATTTTTACTAGAAGACGGCGCTGCCAGTCAAACGCAATCATCATCATCGTTTATACGGTTGCGCCAGTTTTACGATTCGCTAAAATACGTTAAATTTTACGTACGGTTTCGCGGAACGGACCAGCTGCGCCGTTCATGATTTCGGAACCGTGTGCTTCAAAAAGAACTCGCTAAAACTCCCTAATGACTGGTGTCCGCCTTCTTCGCGGGAGGGGGGAGGGGGTGGAGGGGTGGGGGCAGCAGCACACATTTTGGAGCTTCTGAAATGGTAGGATCAAACACACATGGACGTACTCAGAGACTAAAATTCAAATAAGTTGTTTTAGTAAGTGTTTCGTACCAAAAATTGTGCATTGGAATGTTCTTAAACATTTAGCTGCCACTGAATCTGTTTTTGTTTGAACAACGGCAGTCTGACACTGCCGCTTTAGAGACTTTTAGCAAACCGTTACTTATTTCCGTGTACCGCACTACCGGGGCCTTTCAAGCGTGTAAGTGTGCACTCTACTATAGAAAAAATCACCCAAAAAGGTGACGAAGTTTAACTTTAAATCGGTGCCAGCAAACTTTAGTTGTAAATGGCAGTAAAGTTGCAATTCTAATGTATTTCTATAAATTCACGAATAAGTGGCCCAGTGCTATTTGCCCCGAGAAGATGGAGTGGCCCCTCCTCGTAAGGTAGTAGCAAGGATCACGTGACCGCTTCTGGGCTTCGTTGGTAGCATGTAGGTTGAGGTGTATACCATTTACAATTCATTTTTGATTCGTTCATTTGAACGAGAATTTAGCGTTGCTTTTGTCCTAATTCTTTCGTTTTACTTCTCGTCGAAATCAAACTCAAGCAGCGCGACAATAGTGGCGTTGCGGCCTCGGAACAAGACCCAGTGAACCCAACTTCGTATTGGCTTTGTAGGTTTGTCAAGTGACCATACAGGGAGATTCCGAGACGGCATGTTTCCCAAGGCCAGTCTTATTTTTTTTCCCCAGCCTTTTGGAAACACAGGGCAAATAGAAACCAGTCCTGAGGATGGCCGAGCAGGCATTAAACTTGGCATTCCAATCCTAATTTTTTTTTTTTTACAGTTTGTTTGCGTTGTTTTTAGAGAGAGACACGAAAAATGAAGGGTACGTACCACATGATGCTAGGATAATCCATGGTGCGTTTATTCGAGCTTTACGTCAACGAAAGCAGCAAATAGAAGAATTGACG